TTACTCAACCCTGCTGTCCCAGAAAGTTTATTCCAATTTGCTAATAATTCTGCCAAGGGAGATCCTTTAAGTACTGAAGGATATCCTCCCATTCTGCAATTTTCTTTGTGAGGGGTATTTCAGAGTGATCCTTTCCTATTCCAACCCACAAACACAGACAAGGGGAGACTTGAACTCACCTTTCTGTAGCCGGCAGTTTGTAGGATGTAATATCGGGATCCTCTTTTATTCGTCCTCCCCGTCACAGCCTAGAGTCCCATCTGGGGTGCCAAAACTGTTAAAGGAGACTCGAACTCCGTCGTGGGTTACTCTAGGATTTTATTCAGGTCCAGCAGCGTTGGGTCACCTCCGCAGAGAGTGACAGCTTACATGAGTTCGCATACATGTATTTATGCACCTACAAAGCATTACCTAATCCAGAATACACAGAATTATACTTTATCAGTCATTATTATCTTGACAATGGGTTTCACATCTTGTTCTGGAGTCCGACCACTTCGTTGTTTGTTTTCTTTTAGTCTTCAAGGGCGATTACCTCAAGTTCTGTACGTCTCAGTTCTTAGTAGTCACAATGATAGCATTATTATCTTGACAATGGGTTTCACATCTTGTTCTGGAGTCCGACCACTTCGTTGTTTGTTTTCTTTTAGTCTTCAAGGGCGATTACCTCAAGTTCTGTACGTCTCAGTTCTTAGTAGTCACAATGATAGATCTCCCATTGCTTCGGTAGCTAAGGGCCAGTTTCTCATACATCAACATCCTTTGAACTGTCAGGCACATCATTACCTTTGTTACAACATTTTATTAATGTTCTATTCAGTTGACTGCGCATGCAGCCCTGGGCTGGGGCTATACAGGGAACAGAGCTGATAGAACAGCTTGTGCAGCAGCACTGCATTGCAACATTTTCTCAACACTAACGATACCTTCCTTCAGCCTAGTTGTGCAGCTTAGAAAGGTGAAAAGCTCACAGATAGTGATACTGCAAGAAAACCAATTCTAGCACTGACTTTGGCTTGTTGCTCATATGTAATGGATGATTTGCACAATGAAGTTTGGCCTTTCATCACATTTTTTTTCCTTTGTAGACAAGTGTGACAGCAATTCTTCCTTACATCCACTGCTCTATTTCTTATTGGTAGCTTGCCATTGATGCTTGCAAAAATGTCAAATGGTCTCATTTACCTAATTAATAATGTCATTAGCTAAACAAGCTCTCAAGGACAGAGATGAATACATGGAAAGTCCATCAACTCAAGTGGCGTTTGCCTTGACAGGGGCGATGGAGATAAGCTGGACTAAAGGTCACAACTTGTTCTCCTCAGTTTGTTTCTAAGCAGCTCTGTCAGTCTGTGGTTACAGCAGCCTAGGTTGAGTTTGTTTTGCTCTTCTGCCTCTGCAAGTAGGGCACTGAAGGTGACAGACCCTCTGGAAATGAGCCGCTGTTCTCCACATCAGGTGGCTGAAGAAGCTCTGGCTCTACAGGCAGGAAGCTTGGAAGCAGACCCACAGGAGAAGCCAGTAGTAACAGAGCTGTTTGGAGTCAGTGACTTCAAACTAGCTCTCGCTCAGAGTGAAAAACATAAATGTAATGAAAAAACCCCAAACAACAGTCCAAGTTTGTGTGTGTGCACGTGTGAGAAAGCATGAACATCCTGAGGCTGACAAGAATGGACTAACGCTTGGTTTTGCACAGTGGTCATGCTGAAGCAAAAGACAGTCCGTCCTACTTAGTGAAAGTTAGGTGGTTAAGGAACAGCTGAATGGCTCACTTGGGGATGTGTGATTAATAGAATGGTATTCAGTCAGTAACAAATATAAATTAGATACCAGAAAACACCAAACACTGACGCAGAGAGCTTGCAGAGATGACTTGCTAGCAGCAAACCAGGACTCTGATGACTGTAAGCGATCCACTGGAGATTTACACAGAATTGGTTTTGTGGTTTTCTGCCTTTTCTGCAATGGTTATAAAGGCTTTTTCAAATAGATGAGAAGCAGGAAGCCTGATGCTGCTAAGGGACAGGAGTGCTCGGGGTGCACTCTGCAGCTGCTGGAGTGGTTGCAGAATATAAAGCCGTGCCCCAAAAACAAGACAGACTTTGCGAGGCTTCTCAGACAAGGAGTTCAGGCAATCATGTTACTGGAACCATTCTTCATCAGCAGTATCAGGGCATCTGTCTCAGATTTGTGTGTCAGTAAAGAGGTTACAGAATAATACGTTAAAGTGAGCAGTAACACATTCCCAGGACCGGGTGATATTTGTGCAAAATTTTCAGAAGTGTCAAGGGATAAAATAGGTAATTTTCTAATTGTGATATGCAGTTTCTCTCACCAGACTTGGTATTAGACAATTGGAGGTAGCTAATTTGATGTCAGCTTTCAGAGTTTCAGGAGAGAGCTGGGGAATATACTCACCAAGAAACCTGCTGTCTTTACTGGCCAAATTGGCAAGTACTGTAATGCAGGCCCAAGAGATGAACACATTGGGAAGGAATCAACAGAGTTTCTGTAAATAGAAGCAATTCTTCATAAATTCATTAGTTCTTTGAAGTATTCAACAACCCCGAGGACACAGGAATATATCCAGCTGATATAGTTTACTTTAACTTCAGAAGAGATGTCACCACATGCCTTTCAAAGGCTCTTAGAGGATATAATCTGAGGGGGTAAGCAGGAAGGTCCTCGCATGGATAAACAGTTCAAAGACAGAACAAAGAAGGGTAGGCAGAAATAGTTGGTTTTTTTTACAGCAGAAAATATTAATGCTTAGTTTATGCAGATCAATATATTTCTAAATGATGTGGAGAAAGGAAAATAGGTGGCTGACTATATTTGGTGACACTACTGAGGGTACTAAAGACAAAGATTGAGTGAAGAATTGCAGAAGGACCCCATGCTACTGAGTGACAGTGCAAAAAACCAGCAGATAAAATTCAACAGTGATAGATAAAAAGTAAGGCACAAGGAGAAAACCCAGTCCTAAAAACATTTACAGTGATGGGCTCTGAGCTTATTTGTACCATTTACAAATGATATTTTTATATTATGCCAAAGAAAATTGGGCACAATGCCAAGCAGCAATCCAAACCAGTATATTGAATGCTCAGAATTATTTAAGAAAGAAACAAAAGAAGCATATTATTTCACTCTATATACCTGTGGTGTCACAGCATCTCAACTGGTATTTTAAGTTTTACTGTGCCCATTTCATAAAGGCTGTAGTGAAATTAGAAGATATGCAAAGATAGTAACAAGGATAATTGAAAGTATGGACCAGATTTTATACGTGGAATTATTAAATAGCTTAGGACAGTCTCATCTGGAAAAGAGGTGGTTGAGGAAAGAATATGACATATCTATAAAATTACAGTGCCAAGAAGATGGTGAATAGGTTTTGAATCCTAATTAGAAGGCAGAAGCAGCAGGAGAAAACAAACAAAAGAATGCATTTCTCCTGACAGTGCATTGTTAAACTGCTGAATTTAACACAGAATGTTGTGGAAGGTATGATTTTGTCAGAGTTGGAAAAGTGACTGGGAGAAATAATGGAAGGAAAAAATCTACTGAAGGTTGTTAAATAAAAGGACATAACCCCTGGGAGTCCATGAACCCCAGTTCAGTGGAGTCTTGGCAGAACACAGAGGAAGTACCACTGCACATTCATCCTTACTTAAAACTTTTCCCAGCACCCTTCTCAGTCAGGTAGAGGGAGGGTATGGGACTAAATTGTCTGGCCCACAGCCTCTGTCCATGCACAGTGAAGAAGACAGGAATAATTACTCAAGCTGGTCACAACAAACATTACCATTGTAATACAATTAAGACTAAAATCCTCGGTTAGAAAGAGCACAGTCTGTGCTAATACAGCAACCTAGCAAGGGCCAGGGCAGTACCTACAGGAGTCATGGTAGGTACCTGTCCTGTGTGCAGGGCTTATTTTCTTCTGTGATCCAAATGGCTATTGAAATCCACGGATATATACTAGAAGGGAGACAGTTTTTTAATGGTGTACCTTGTGCAACCATCCTTGGAATACCACATGCACAATTTAAAGAAGGATGCTAATTAAACTGGAAAGTTTAATTGCACATGCCGAGCACTGCGAAGCAGTTTTGGATGTTGTGTGTTTTGCAGCTCTGTGTCTTAAATGTTCTGGGGAACAGGATGAAGTATCTCAACTCCCTCTGGTGTTGACCCACAGGCCACCACCGACACAGACAACAGCTGCATCAGTGACAATACGTATGAGAAAAGGCAGTGTAAATGCAGCCCAAGAGAAGTAACTGTACCAACAGTACATCTGTAGGTCATCTCAGCTTGTTTCAGTGAGCAAATTCTCTGCATCCTCTGATAGAAACTAAAGAGCCCCAGGCTCCCGCCATTGATGTACTGCTTTGGATAGCCACTCCTCCTCATAGTAATTACTGGGTTTGGAATTACATCAGGGACAATAATAGTAATTTTGAGTAAGATTATTAACTGTCTTTGAGTACAAAATAACTTTTTGAAAACACTAACAGTCAAACTGCTCAAATAATGCATTCAGTTAAAAGTTTGGAGCTGGTCTCCTTGGGGGTAAATACTTCAGTTGCATAAATGTGAAAGTTAAGTTGTCCTGCTTTTAGGACCTGTGTGAGTATGAAGAAAATATTGTTTCTCTTGGTAATACAGAGCTAATATTGCTAAGCACTGAGTCATCATTGGAACTGCCTACTAATTTCCAATAAACCACAGTTAGGCAAGCCAGATACAGACATAGGAATTTCATTAATATCCTCAAATATGTAATTTGAGCTTGGGAGACTTGGCAGATAGTTATAGGATCTTACTGTAATTATTAGGCTATGAGGGTGAGTTCACAGAGCTGGTACTGAATCTACACTACAGGTACTTTCTGCTGAGCTTAACTATACTTCGACTACGCTCAAATCACACCAGCCACATCAGATAAAAGGACTAGCTGATTTGTTACAATTCTGTCCTTCATTCCTTGATAGGAAGAACCTGTTCATCTTGAAGGCAGTGCAATGGATATACATATTAAGTGGCTTAAGCAAGAATATATGAAAACTCAGAGGGACTGGAAAGAAGTGGATAACAGAATGAATGTGACAATAGAAATACGGAGAAAGATGATCAGCGATAAGGCACCTTTAAAAGACATTCTTAGACTATTTCCTTTCTTAAGATGCCCTTATCAGGTAACAGAGCTATTTTTAATAATGATGCTGAATTTTGTGTTATAGATGTGATTCAACCATAGGCACGTATTTTACCGGATGCTTCCAGTGAAGTATCCATGGACATTGTTCTCTTTAATCTAACTCATATTTTTGCTGCTAACCCCACTTTGAAAGATTCACCAGTCCTGTGTTAAACATGCCACATACAACACCAGTGCTTTATTTGAAGGATTTTGTGTTACTTGATGTATTTCTTCCCTGCTTTGAAAAGAAATTAAACCATTCCCCCCAGTTTCTGATCTTATTTTATTCAGCTAGTTTTATCCTGTCTTCAAAGTGTGCACCTCATGTTCTTTTCAGTTTTGTTTTTGAGGATTGCAATAATACCAAATATTTTTCTTTCAGCTTTTTAGGGAGTTCCAGCTTCTCACACACATGGATATTTATAAGAAAACAGTTGAGATTTTGGAGATTTATTCGGAAAACATATTATCTTTGTATGTGGTGAGGAATAATCCAATTAACATTATGCTACAAGAAAATCTGAAGCGGCACACAAAGGAAGATATTCTGAAATGTCAGTACAAATCTTCTATACACTGAATGTCAGAGTTTTGTTGTAGCTAATTGTTCTCTACTTATATAACTAAGCTAGCTCCAGTTTTACTGCAAAAACATTTTAAAAATGTCACAGTTGCTTGATAAATATATAGTGATGGGGAAGCATTAAGAATAAATGCTAATAAATTTCTAGGAAAATTAAGTCAGTCGGGTATTGAAACTTTTCTCTGTTGAATAAAAGGCTGCAGGTTAGATAAAGTTAGTAACTGCCTTAAAATATGCATTGCTATATGAGCAGAATTATGAATTTCTAGATATGTAAAAGAGTGCTTATTATTTTCTAAAATTACACGCAGAAAACTAATTTTCTGGTTTAGAAATCGTCTCATAAAAAAGAGACAATTTCCTTTAGAAAGAGAGGTACTGTTTCTGTGGTTAAAGTCTTCATCCCAGTGAAATAAAAGAAGTGGTTACCCTTAACTGTGTTTAAGTACCTCGCCTCTGCAGAGACCTGTTACAGGAGTGAGTGCACGAGCTGGTACCTCTGGCGAGCAGGTGCCACACCACGAGAAGAGGTCCGTGCACCTCGACGTGTTGGGCTCGCTGGCTGCGAGGGAGCAAGCACCCACAGCCACTCAACTTCTTTCAGTCTGAGAAGCCTGGGGAGTGTGGTTCTGCAGGGGCAAAACCTTTGAAGCAGTTACTCAGAATCGTTATTCTTCTCAGACTGCAGCTGTCGATGCCCATGCCCCAGCTTAGCTCTGTGAGAAGTGCGCCTTAGACTATCATTTTCTAACAAACAGGCATAATGCCAGGATGACAAGTCAAAGGTGACGCAGTGTGAACACGTGTGTTTCTTATAGCAGTTTCATGCCTTTTATTGCCAGGCCGTTTCTTAAAGAAGCAAGCGGAGTAGGCTAAAATACAAGGGGTTTCTTTCTTAAAGCTTAAAAAGACAAGTACTCAATAGTTCATGATAGATTAAAAAGCATCAACAAATAGCCAATTCCAAAAGTTTTTATGGACTTTCTACTCATACCTTTGGACTTAGAATGCTATGGACACTGTTAAGTATTTTTCCCTTTTCTTATACAATATGCCCACAAAGATTTTAACTCATACATTAGTAAAGTCCCAAGGCTTTTACTTCCCTGTTTTTCTCTCACAAACAACCTGACCTGGCACCTAGATAATAAACTCCTGACAAGAGAGGTTCAGTGGAACACACGACACTGGAAGCCTGAGGTGCAAAAAAGATGTTAGTCAATCACAGCTGAACTAGAGGGGTAGTGGGTACCCCATCCCAGGAGATCCTGTAGCACCAGCTCATACCACAGCCTTCAGAGTGGAGTTCTCTGGCAACAAGTCCCCCAGAGACATCTGATTTACTGGGGAGAGAGGAGTTTGGGGACGGATGGTGTAGGCAGGAGGACTACTCATCTCGCAAACTCCACTAGAAGCAACCCAAAGGCCTGCTTACTTATTGTGAGAGAGATTTAGCCGTATTATTGAGTAGCAGAGTGACATGAATGATTTGAATACTAATGCCCATTGCCTGCTGAGGCACCTAAACCTTCACTCTGGTACAAACTACTCTTCAAAATGGACTGAACAGTTCCACTGCTGAGCTGTTAACTATTACACGGGCTGCAATCTACTTTTCCAGTATGATACCAGAATGCCAGAATGTTTTCATTTGTAATTTAGTAAAAATCCTTGCCTTTGACAGATATGAAAATGACTGCTGCGTGTTTACTTCTGCCAGATGTCTTTGGAGATGATTCCAGTCTGTTCGCTGCAGTGAATGAGGAGGTAGGAGACAGAGCACCAGCAGTTTTACTCTCTCTTCCTTATACCAGCTGCCTGGGCACATCACCTGGCCTTTTGGTGGCTCAGGTTAATTGCTGGAAAAGGATGACATTAGCCTGCCTTTTGGGTAGAAGGCAAATATTCATAGAAATACTAGCTAAATTTAAAGCAGGTTTATTAAGCTTACTTAATCCTCTGACCTGTTCACCGAAATGATGCTGTGGCATCATTTGAAATATCCTTTTTAAAATTTAGGTAAAAGCAGTGACACCAGTGTTGGAAGTAAAAAATCCCTTCAATGTGAATTCATGTGAGTTTGCGCTATACGTGGAAAGGGAACAGCTAGCCCAGCTTGATGACTGCACCATGGCCCTGGCCGCGCTGGTGGCTGCATTTCATGTGTTCGATATCCCGTGCCCAAAGAGAATCCACAGGACGCTGAACTTCCTGGAGTCCCTGGTCTTTGAGGTGAGGAGCCCAGCATCCCTGCCCACCCCGGTAAAGAGAGGGCTGGAAGCACCCGAGTATCCCAGTATCTGATGGTGTACACAGCCCTCCTCTCAGGAGCATTTGACATTTAGTCAAAATAAATCCCTTTGTTGTGAAGATAAATCAGTGCCATTCTGGTGAAAGCATGTATGTAACAGTTATGTTTAATAACGCCCCTTTTTTTTATTGTACTGGCTACTTTTTTACAAATTTAAAACCTAAGCAATTTCGTGATTTTAAATTAAAATTCTAGAGCACTGCAGAGGCATTAGCAACAATAAAATTTTCTAGATTATTGCATGTATCATATATTGTTTTTCCATATGGAGCATTTAACAAACGTGGGTAATATTTTGATTGTCAGAATTTAAAAAACACATTGTGAGCTAATGTGAGCCCTTCACTTCTTCAGATGCTAAGACAGTTAATGATTTGAAGTGACACAAATTAAAAATGTACTTATTACCATAATTTCATTATGTTATGATTACCAAAAGCCTACTATAATAATTTTTGTGTTTTAAGATGGTGGGCCTGATTTTTAATTTGCAGGATGATGAGTTTTCACTATTTCCTCCATGCATGAAACTTTTTTTTTTTTTTTAAATAAACATTAATCCTGAATTTGCTAAACAGGGATTCTGAGATGAGCTCTCAAAAGTAGCAAGAATGACTTATCTGGGATGCTGCCATGTGCATTTGTAACCACAGCTTTGGTGCTGGGGAAAGAACGCCTCATATTCTTTCTGAATTTGTTCCCCAGAACAAATCGGCCTTCTCCACATGATGACTCTCCTGTCTACCCACACAGAGCGGAGGCCCTCTCCTCTCTTCTTCCACACCCTCCTCTTCTCCCTAACACTCTCCTCTTAACTCCTGCATGCCTGGAAATCCCAGGGGTTACTGCCCGACAGTGCTTCAGATGAGTCCCTTACGATGGACAGTAGCAGCGGCCAGCAAACATGACCCATTGAATTAATTAGAAATTAAAATGGCTTTTTATTAAAACGTTGCTTTCTACTAAAGAGATCAATCTCCCACCAATTCTAAAAATGTCTGTGTAGGCAAAGTGGCATTTGTGGTCACCACAATTCTTTAAACACTCAAACACACAGCTTGGAAGAGCACAGAAGTTTTGTTAACGCCTGGCTGTGCAGGGGTGACTCCAACACAGAGATCACAGCGGGAGATCCTGCACTATGAGTGGGGATCGCTGTATTTAACGGCTAGACTCTCTTGCTGAAGATTTAGGATTTCTCACCTGGCTCCCACGGAAATCAGGGGACAACCTTTACCTGTGTGATGGCTGGGTTACCTCCAACACAACACAGAAAATGGTATCAACTGCTGTTTTAAAGATTCAATAGGTCTCCTCGGTGTTTTTGGTTTCTGAGTGAATTTGTTGGGTGTAGTTTTGTAACAGAGGTGGCTACACCCTGCCACCTGATCACATGAGATTATGCATGTCCTCACTGTTGTAAGTGATAGCTATAGGAATAAAAGGTTGGGCTCTGCATCATTTAAGTGAGGTTTATTCTCCATCCTGTAAATAGTATTAACACAAACCCATTCCTTAAATCACAGGACTTTGTGAGTACGTATACAAAAATTCAGGGAGCTGCTAACATCCCCAAGTAATCTCTGTCGAGCTGCAAATCTCTTTATTGGTTCTCACAGCAGGTTACAGAGCTGGCACAAGAGAGAGACACAAAGGGTGAGGGGGAATAAACTACGTGGAAGGACAAAAGGAAAGAAAACAGAAGAATCTGGCATTTTACTGATCTGCATGGGCAATGCAAACTGCTGCCAGTGGCAGAATCCAGGTCCATAAATGGGTTTCTGATTGTGACAGCGAGCTGTCTGTGAGCTAAGTGTTCAGGGAGAAGGCAGACAACAGTAGCTGCTGTCTTTTTAACTCATGGCCACATTGAGCTACGGTGAGGAATGACTCCACACCACCCTCGGGAACAGCCGGGTTCATCTGAGAATCCTGGGCACACACAAATTTAACAGACAGCTCCAGTTCAGGTTTTATTTGTATTGTAGTACAATAAGAGTGCAATTTGAATGTACAAATATTGAACAAAATGTAAAAATATTATTTATGCAATGCTATGGAAGGAAATTAACAGAGCAATGCAACTTACTTCATACTGACCCTGTTTCACCTCATATTATGGCAGGTACCAGTCACCTACATGATCTGGAAGGGGCACAGAGAGTTCTTGAAATCTCGAGGAACTCCAGCCAAAGAACAGCCTAGCAAAATCTGTGGGAAGATGTAAAAATCTCCCAGCTCTGCGCAACAGAAACGCTCTGCTTGTTCTCAGCTCTAAAGGCTGAGCAACTGCCCACCGCAGTGCTAAGAAGAGGGCTGCCAAAACTCTTGATCCAACTCTCTCTCCTTGCAGAAGTAACATTCTGGAACAGTCCTTGGTATACAAGTAGCTAGGCTGTCTCTCATTTAAAGTGCATCTGGTTTACATCTTACGTATATATACCAAGTGCAATGACTTTCCCTGACAAATCCTTAGAATAATCCTCCAAGAAAGAAGGTTGCCTCACCTAAGTACCTGATGGTGGGCACCTGCAGCCTGCTAATGACCCAGTGAGATGCGTGCATTTTATACCTAGGATGTGCCAATGCACCACTTGCATTTAAGTATCCTTTTCCTCTGTGCTTTGTCTTTCCCCCTATGCCTTATTCATTTATGAATCAGATTTTCCAACTAGGAAGTAGTGATTGAAATAATTCTCCCACCATTGGGAAACAAACCTGTGTTGAATATGAAGCCAGAGTAGCAGTCCTAGCTTTAGCATACTGTTTTTCTCCGCTGTTGTGGTAACTATACTGGAGACTGGCACATGCAGACTTGAATGAATGTATTTTCTTTTTTGCTAATGTTTTTACCTCAAAATACACGTATTTTCCTTCATGTGCTGAAGGACTGTAGCAGGGTCCCATGTAAAAGGCTGGGACTCTGTTCTGCAGCATAAACAAAAAGTCTTCTATGAAGTCAAACTTTATTTTTCAGTTGCAGCCTTCTCTGTACTGATCTTTTGGTAAAATACATTAAAGATGCTGGTGGAAAAACTCACATAACATTTTGTAATCGTGCAAAAGTAAAAACATTCAGTTATCAAAAAGCATTATAATTTCAACCCCAACAAGGTTTGTTTTGTTTTGTTACAAGCAAACAGACAATTTTTTAATCTGTAAAGTTATATGCTGTAGCATAAAGTGTCACATATGTAACATTAAGTGTTTCATTTTTAAACTATGGCACAAATACGTATTAGCCATAACAGTCTCATCTGGCTACCTGTAGCCTAATTTTTGGCTAATCAGTTTTTATTTTGATAGTATGAAGTAAAAGCTTCTGAAAAGTAAAATGGGTACATGAAGTAGAATTCAAGAATTCTTAGAAAATATTAATGTTCCCTTATATAATACAGCATAAATAATTAACGAAGGTTTTCTTTATATCCAGAGAAAGTTAGGGATCCTAACCATCCATAGAGAACTAGCGCCATTAGTTTGGTAAATAAGACTAGCTGACTCCGTTGTTATACAGTACCTTCTCAAAAGCTTGAACACTTCCCAGAAGGATTCAGATGTGTACTGGCTCCAGGAGAATATAAATAGTCCACCAGTGCTGAACTTACGTTTCTTCCTTTCTGAGAGTCCTTACTCAACAGTTCTAACAAGTCTTTGTGCTTTGAATAAAACATGAGCTCCAGTGGAGAAAGCTGGCTTGTACACATTTTCCATTACCTTCAAAGTTCATTGTGTGAGTTTTTCTCTGCAGCTTTGAACATCAGAATGGAATTAAAGATCTTTAGTGCTGGTCCCAGTTTAATGCTCATTATTTTGACTATGTCTGATTGGGTCATTAGCAGAAATGCTTCTCCATCAATTTGCTTTAAAAGAAAAAACACACAAAGCTATTAATAGGTCTGACAGTGCAGCAACACAGATGTTTCAGAAAACATGAAAAGAAAATTCCTAGCAATTTCAGACAGTGTAAAGGAATGGTTGAATATAAGCACTTTCAAATACTTTCAGGATAGCTTTGATTTCAACCTTTTAGATAGATCAGCTAGTCCAAAAGAACAGGATGATGATCTTCGTTCTGCTTGAGAACAACTGTCTGGCTAATTTTTAGCTAACCAGTTCTTATTGTCATACTGACAGTATAAAGTAAAAGCTATTGAAAAGTAAAATCGGTAAATAAAGTAGAATTCAACTGTACAGCAGCACAGTAATGCTTTTTAACATCTTAGCTACTCCTTTTATGCAAGCCTCCATAAGAAAGCTTCTGGATGACAGAACTGGAACCCCCTTCAGGCCACCCATTTCTATTCACTGAACAGCAAATTAAAATGAATTTGGTCCCTGATGTAACAGGGGCCAGGCTACATAAAACTGCCTCTTTGACACAAACACAACTTTTCAAAACACTGAATACTTTTCCTGCCAGCTTCGTAGTGTTGCTATTTTAATAAATGTTACAAGTGAATACTCTCCTGCAAGCAAATTGCTCTGTCAGCAGGAGTGCTAAATCTGAACGTGAAGAGCCACAAGGTCTTCACCTCCAAGGGCTTCACTCCAACACTTCTTGTGTACACTTCAGGTCACTTAGGAATCTATAGTAAGTTTTCAGTGTAACATAAGCAGGATAGGTAGGTCTAAAAGCCACTTGTGGACAAATCAGCACTGCTTAGGCTTAAATGTACTAATTTGAGATAAAAGTGGTGTAATTAAGTTTCTGTAGGACTAGAAGACAAGCTTTCTGAACCAGACAGGCTGCAAAGGAAGCCTGCAAGTACAGCCCAGCACTGTAAGTTAAGGAACACTGCAGTGAGAACAGCATTATGCAGTTAGCACAATCGCTTTCTACTCATTTCACACACAAAGCCAGACTGGGTGGGGGTGCCCACCTTTTTGTGAACGTGGGGGTGCCCAGCTTTTTGCAGCATCTTAATATAAACAGGATGAGGGTTCATTTCCACAGCAGAAGTTTGAACCAGAACCTTCTACCTACTGAAAGCCCTACTGATGCCAGCCAGTCCATGCTGGCTGGCCTCACTGAGAGACTAATTTCCTACTTACAGACAAAGGCTGAGAAGCTGAATCCTAAAGCAGGGAAGTATTTTCTTACACCTCTGAGAATGAAAGGTGAGAATGAAATGTTTAGGATTCATCCATGTCTATGGCACTCCCCTCCTGCTGACCTGATTAGCAATACACCAGCTTTTACCAATCATAAATTCATTGGTGAGGCACCCTAAGTGACATAAGGGATGATCTAGGCCTGCATACCTGCCCCCACTGCAAAAAGCCTACCATCTAAGGAAGTGCAAAATGTCCAGAAATACAGCCTTTCAGTCCTTTGATATGCAACTGTAATAGTCATCACAATCTACAGCACAGCCTGAAAACTTTTGTAGTGGGAGATTAGCAGGGCCATCTGTATGCATTTTCCTCAGGAGGTGCCTTCTCAAGTCTAAGTGCCACAATTATTCTTCACTTGAAAGGCTGGCAGACTTGGGATATTACAGTATCACTCTGCCCATTCAGATGGTCTGGCTGTGACACCACCTCAACTACTCACTCTGGCAATCTGTAATCAAACAGCCTTCTTGAAACTAAGCATTAACAGGAGTAACAAACCTCTGAGCGGAAAAGAAAAAGCCAACCTAGCTTATAAAGGCCTATTGTACTTAAAAGCCCTATCACTTTCTAATGACAACTTTGGCAAAACAATCTTCTCAGATACCTGAAATGCATGCCTGGCTTGCTCCAAAGTGACTACACACTCCGGTGAACCTCATCAGAACCTTTCTGATCTTCCCACTTTCCACAAACTGGCTGTCTCAGGAGGAAGAGCATCAAGAGCAAAGTGTGACCAGACAAGATGCAAAGGGTTTTAAGAGGTGGTTATCCCGAACCACTGCTCTATTTTACTTATTAACATCCTGCAGAACTAAAATAGCACACTTACACATTTCCTCAAACCAGATTAAGAGAGAACAATAGTAAATCATGAAGTTCCTCCTCTTCTACCATTCATTCAAAGTAATTTCAGTTACAGTAACAAAGCTAGAGAAGCATGAAAGACCCGCCTGACACTTAGTAGTGTTATCTTCTTTACTTCCCACTCCATGAACTGCAAACCCACCTAATCATCCATACATTTACACATTTGCATCTGACTTTAAACATACACTTCATCCTACTACCTTAAATATATCTTTAACAATGACATAAAATTCATCTTTCCACCAAACTTTGTACTCTGTATCTTTTTGAAATAAAATTCACCCACCTCGTCTTTAAACACCTTGCCATGTTCTTCACATCCTGGTAAACTCCGTATAAATTCAGAGACCTGCCACGAAAGTAAAAGTATACAACAGAAGATATAGTAAGACCAGTGTTTTCTCAAAATAGTCTTAAAGATTGACAATCATTAGTTTTTTAGCTATTGTTTCTACAGCGTCATATTAGGTGTTCCACTTTCTGTGGAGTCATGCAGCTGGGTATTTAAGGACAGGATTCACGGAATCTGCACACTAAAAGAGCACATGCCACGCTTGTCCACAAGACATCTAAGAATGGGATACGGCTACTTCCTCAAAATTACTCATGTTGCTCTACTCATGCAGATCCAGAATCACGAACCTTCTCTTGGTGAATCATTTCTCACAAACCAAAACAGTTGCTGCTTTTCTCTTCTTTATTATTTACAGCACAGAAATTAGTAAAGCCTTTTTCAGAGTTCATGTTCCATTTTTCTCCGATTAGAGATCTGACTATCCCACTTGCAGAAAACTGCCTTAGTCATAGGTACTTCTGAAAGTAAAGCAGGGACTAGACCCTGTCTGTCCAAGCTTTATTACACACTTGAACAGTGACAGGGTTTTAATCTTGAAGTCAGGTGTCATGGCCTGACTGTATCCATGCTGTTCCTCTCTGCACTATATTCTCACCCTCCAAAACTGTGTGCGACACCCAAACTATGCATCAGGAACAGCTCCTTGGACCATGCTGACCCCTAGACCATTCTTATTGTTAATCTATGGGGCTAACCTAAAGATCTGAATCAACCAAGACTTCAAGGGCAGTGGCAGTGAGATAGAAGACACAGGGGAAACCTACCTCATCTGTACTCCACTTAGAAACTTTACTGGCTGGGATCCCAGCTACACTTGGAAGGAGCTTGCTCTGCTGTTCCCAGCGCAGGGGTAGGCCAGGGATTTGCAACTTGGAAGACACAATAACTGGTTGAGAAAGAAGCCTCTGCGTGTTGGGTTCTTCAACATCTTCAACAACAGGAAGCAATAAACAACCATTAAATCCCTCAGTCAGTGATGAGATCAGTCACAGTAAAAGCACGTTCATTTCTATTGATATATATGGGCCTCCCTACGGTAGCTGTACAGTTTTGCTTCCACCAGAACTAAAGGAGTACCATGACTGTTCTTCCACTAGTATGACTGTGATTATATTGGCTCTATATAAATGTAACTATTCTTACATGGAAGAAGTCTCTTCCAACACAACACACTTCTGTGCAGACATCACTGTCGGTATTCCACACCATAGGTCAAGTAATTTTAAATATTTTGATACAATAAATCACTCCCACATTTAATAGTTGCACAGGAGTACCAGAACTAAATTAATTCCAAGGTTGAGCTGTTATAACTTCACAGCATTGCACTGCTACAAAATTCCAAATGAATCAGTTGTACAGTTCCAGCCCACACAACATTTATGCCTCATCCACAACAAAATGTTTTTCAGTTCTTCTGAGGGAAAAACACAAGTGTCTGCAAATTCCCTGCTCCCACTTTAACTGAATGTTTTAGCTGGAAAATAACATTTAACTCCTCTGTGCTGCTACGGGGTTTTTTAGAAGGTCATTTCCCTTTTTATCTCATTTATCCATAATGGAAGGAATGAGCTCCCATCCTACCAGCCTCAAAGGTAATGTACCAGTGGGGGGGTAGCTTCAACCAGATCCTGCTGTTGCTGCTGCTGTCTGGAGAGCAGCAGCAGTTGCAGATGTGTGTAGGAGGAAAGAGTGAAGAGGCATGCCTCAAATGATGTCAAACTGCGTAAGACATCTACGTTCATTTAGATCCATTGCAAATGCAAAAGCAACATGCCTGCTATCAACTCAGGCCCGAATGCTTCCCAACTGCCGAGTAAAATTGTGAAAAATCTCTGGAATTCATTTCTCAATGAAAGAGCCAACACAGAACCTATGCCTAATATTCCTTACTAACATGGCTTCATGCAATCACTCACAAATCCCTGTGCTATTTTTGTTTGGATTGCTCACTTCATTACAGCTCCAAACTATTACCATTGTTGGGAAGTTGCTATTATTTACAGTTTTCCCTATCCTTACTGTTCTAGTTTTCATACATTTGTGCCCAACAACTAGGGCACAAATTCCTACTATAGATTTTTGCCAGCACAGTGAACTAGTTTAGAATATATAATGTGGCCAATATAGGATGGGATTACATTTGCTTGAGTTGTTCTGCTCCTCTATCTTAAATTTTTCTTACTTTCAAGACTTATCCTCATTTTACATCAATGTCAATTATTCAGAACTTGACCCTTAAGCCATTTAGTCAGTATTGTCAGCTCACTGATTAAATTTTTAAATAGACTCCTTTATTTTTTCCTAGCATCATACTCTTACTCTTGGAAGTGAGTTCCCTAAATGTCTGTTTATACATTGCTGTTGTTCTTCAAATGTGCCTTAGAGCTTCTGCTACTACTAAAAATCTCAGTGAGAAAGGAAAGAGTCTTGTAAGGCAGCAAGCATGCTGAATGTAAAGTCTATTTTAACAAATAGTATCTTCCTCATTGTTCCCTTGAATCCCCTCCCTGTCCGTAGCCCCTGATTTTTTCTTTCTTAAAAAAAAAGTCTTTTAAGAGTTGAAAATACAAGTATTTAACTAATTTTTTTGTTTTCCATTCACAAAACATGCAATGTATTGATACTGTAACAAAAAGAGCATATGACAATACTGTGTGAAGAAAATTTGAGGCAAATTGCAGTCCATGTTTGCACATGTTTAAACATATGTGTACATAAGAGCATACAGCTACATGCATAGTGAGAAGCAGAAATGACAGCTAAGGTTACCTATCTATCCCACATGTCTCTATTTTCAACAGTTTACAGCTGTGTCAATTCCTAACAGTTCCAGCTGAAAAAGAATGTATGCTAGTCATCTGTCTATGCTGTGTTTCTCTGGAAAACCTGAAGCAAACACAGGTCAGTTGGTTACAAATGAGGTTAGCAGAAAATAAGTTTGATAACATGACATTGCTTAATGCTAAACCTTGTACTCCATCTATTCACATTCAAGAGATCTATTTACTGACATGGAAAGAATGCAGTGCCTAATGCCTTTGAGGATGTGGGCAAAAATGCCTCTGCTTCTCAGCCTGTCTGCCTCACAGGTAAGATGAACAGCACAAAAGGAGCATGTAAAGTACCAATTTGCCCAACCAGATGGAGGAAAAGAAAAAAGAAGTCCCCAACCTGGGGCAGGTATAACCGCAATCCCTGACAAAGGAAGTTTAGGTTTAGTGTGGGTAACTTCTTGCAAAAGACAGTGCAAAGCACAGAATTTTGGTTATAATCTCTGTCTGTAACACCAGATATCTAAAACTCCTCCCTACCCTCATGCTCTGGTATTCATTGCTCTGCAAGCCCTGCTTCCCACAGAGAGGCAATCTGTGTTTGTGGACCAGAGAAAATATGTGATGTATTCCAATTTATGTCTCAATTTGGACATTTAGGAGAATAGTAACTTGAGGTGCACCATGGGTTATCCAGCTTCATGACAGTGCCACAAAGAGCTCCTTAAATCATGTAAGTGAAGAAACAAAATCTGCCTGTCAGCTCCACATGAGATAGCAGAGCTAGATGCAGTAAGTTCATGCTTTTAACCCTAATCACTGTTCTTCTCTGCTGACATTTTGCTCCAGCATCAGCTCACCTGTCTCTAGGTTCTTTTTCATACTTAATGCCACCATGTTATCCTTCCCCCTGAACCATATCTTCCTCAATTCATCTCTATCTTCTTAGTGACTGTTACCTTACAATAAAACATAACCTAATGTTTCAAAGAAGCTAAGTGGCAAGCACTCTTCTAGCATTAATGAAAGACCATTAACACTGTTCATTCCCTCCTGCATGTTCTAGCTCCTAACATGTAGCGGGTTTTTAAGCACAAGATTTGTGTCCATAAAAAAAGCTAGTATGAAGGGGCCGTGGTTTCAGTGGAGTTCTTTAGCTCCAAATAATCTTTCTCCAAAAAAGGGAAGAGAGCAGTAAACGTTTTAAAAAGTATCAGTAGAGAACTGGTCAAGTGAGTATGGCAAAAGTAGGTTGAAAAATAGTAATGTGAGATGCAGAAAAAATAGGATAACAGGCACATGTACCAGTAGTCACAGTTCACAAAAGTCTGCACAACTGCAATTATTTTAGCTTGAGCTTTCTGTAACTATGACAGCAAGAACACAATGATCCATTTCCATGCTAAAGATTAAGTAGTATGGCACAATTAAACAAAAAATGGCACAAAATTATGCATATAAAAAGGAGGTAAAAAGGAAAACTTTGTTAAACACTAACGTAGGAAAGTGTTCTAGTTTTATAAATCTAATTATGCAAGACCCTACAAAGAAATGTATCCTAGTAAGCAGAGCTTGCTGGCAAAACTTTATCCAAATAGTCAATTCTGCCAAACTCAAAATGCTTCACAAAATCAGGACAGTTTTCTTAGAATAAAAAAAAAAAAAGAATTGCAGACAATTTTAAATGTTCTGCACGATTTGATTTTAATTTTTTTTTGTATTGTGTTATATAATACAAACATCAAAATTGTTTCCATTCTGATGAAGGAAAATAATTCAAATAACCAAAACCTTTCTGTTTTCAGCTGGTTTAGAGATTCTTCTTTTAATGCTTCATTTTCTCCAGAATTCTGAACTACATCACATTTCAAAACACCATAACAAGCTGGATTTTTTACACAGCTCTTACAATAGACAAAATCTTTCATACTTCACACAGTCTTCAGAGGGCCTCTTAGATCTATCTGAAAAGTGCTGGCAGACAAATGATGTTTTAAGATAAAAGAAATGTATCAGAGGTTAATGTTTAAAAATAAAACAATACCTTAATTTTATCTTTACGCAATGCTATTCTAGTCTCAATTTCCTGGATTTTACAAGGATGAGCTCACTTAAAAGGTAAGAAATGTAGCCCTTAAAGAACCACAGTTACTCAAGTATCAAGATTTTTGATGAAAGCCTTACAAATTTTGTGTTGCACAACAAATTGCTGAAAAAAAAAATCTAAAAATTGAAGGAATTATATTATGAAATGAAGACATTTAGCTCCTCATTGAACTTGCATGAGTTAATAAAATTACTCCAGCAAAAGCTGCACTGAAACAACGCACTGACTCAATCCAATAACTAGACTGACATACTAAGTTTCACACACACGAAATAATTGTCAAATGTAAGACTGTGCTGTTCTGGATTTGTGCTGTATTCTTTCTAAAAAATGAGGATAAAAATGAATAATGAACAGCTACCTCAATCTATCCAACTGGATCAGTGAACAGCCAAGAGTTTTGACACAGTGGTACACACAACCACACAGAATCACCGAACCAAAGAAAAGTCCATGTTGGAAGGGACCTTTGGAGACTATGTGATGCAAACTTCAGTTAAAAGCAGGGCATTAGACTAAATCATCCAGGGTCCTGTCAAGCCAAGTCCTAAATATTTCCAGTAAAAGTGATTCCACCTCTTTTCTGGGCAGCCTATCCTAATTGTTCTCATGGTGAGAAGTTTATTCCTTATATTCAGGCAGAATTTCCCCTGAAGCAACTTGCATTCATTCCCTTTTTTCCTACCACTGTGCATCCTGTAGAAGGTACCTCCATCTTCTCTATAACTACCTTTTAGTTACTGGAGGACTGTGACTAGATTCCTCCAAGACTCCCCTTCCCCAATTCCTTCAACCTTTCTTCATACGTCAAGTCCTTCAACCACCTAATCATCTTGGTGGCCCTCCACTGGACTGTCTCCAGTTTTTCAGTGAAGTAAAAATTTTAGCCATCCCTCTGGAACAGTCATGAAAAAGAAAGGGCCTGTACTGAATACGGGCTGCTAGAAAGTATCAGACTGCACAACAGACTGATGTTGGGTTGAGTAAGTCACCTTAACTTTCCATTATGCCTGTAAGGTGTAAATGCTTTAACTTTCTTTCAATACACTTTTGAAGCAATAAGTGAATGTTATACCTTTACAACTCAGACCGCTTTAATTACCTATTTTTAAAAGTCAGTGGAAAAATATTATTGAAATTATATGTTTTTATAGCAGTATTTGTTCTGCACTCATCTTTACAGCTGTGATAAAGTTCTTGGCAAAGCCTTTGATGATTACGAGATAAAGAAACTGTTAAAAGTGTTGCTGTCAAGAAAGTTTTGGACACAAACAGTGAATGTGAAAAATAAGTAGCAATGAAGTTTCATGAAGAATTTCAAGGAATAGCACACTTCTTTAGTTCTGCAGATTTAAATATGAAACAAATGAAGTACTGCCAATTTACCTTTAATTTCATTTGAAATGAGCACCTTATTTTCTGTCTCCTCTTCTTCGCACTCTTTGTTCTTTATGGAGTCCTTTGTTTGTAGTACTCCACTGAGGAAAATAAGATGTTCACTTTTTATTAATACATCATAAAAATCACTAAGCATGATGACATCTCTTGCTAACAATGCTATTAACACATCAGGATTCCCACACAAAGGATGTCGTATCATCATAAAACTAAAAAAAGAGAAGATCTAGTTTCTGACTTACACAGATGGCATGACTACTGACATGAATTTTGCAATGAAGGCTCAAGAGTAGTATAAACTAAGTTTACGTAAATCCTATCAACACACTTGACTTTGTAACTGATACTGGAAAATATACAAAAGGCGGCAGTGGACATGTCCATGGCAGAAGATGGGAAGAGGAAAGAACACATATGTAGCTGCATCTCCTACAAAGCCTTACTGGTTACCCAGGCCATTTTCAGGAGCTGTCTGAAACAACATCATCTTTTTCTCTGCCTATGCTTCCTCCCCACCCCACCCCAACCCCTGTACTATACTAACACACTGTTGTGCAGCTGTTAATGATCCCACTGAAAATACCTGTACTCTTTTGTTCCTGTTTATGCATTACTTCTCACCCAGCTAAAAGAGCCGCTCTTTGCCTGCTGCCTGTGGCTGCTCCCTCAGCTTTGCCAGCCCAAACATTTGCAAAGAGGGAATGCCTTTCCCCTACTGAGAAAAACGGAGCAAGAGTGGAAATAAGAGAACTTCCCAAAGGTGGGTGGATGTATTTGCATCTTAATGTCAGACCCTGGGAAGTTCCTTTTCAAACTCTGCCTTCAGAAGGTATTTCCAGCCTGGTTTCTTACAGAAATTAAGCTTATATGAACTTGCTACCATTATGTGTGTGTTTATTTCCTTCTGCTTTTAAGAACTTGAGAACACTTTGGCTTATTCTTACTAAACCACCAGAGATGAAGAGTTCTCAGAGATTCTAAGTACCTAATGAATGTTTCCTAAAAATAGGCACCAGACAGAATGATCTTAAAGCAAAGACTAAAAGGAAGCCCACTACATGAACCCATGCTTTACTATCTACCAGAGAAGGAATCAACAAGAACCCCTTTACAAATGTCCCAAACACAGATAAAAAGCCAAACTAGAGCTAATACCTTGTTAGACACCAAGATTAGCTAATCTCAAAACACAAATCCACAGAAGAAACAGACCTGTTTAATTCCATTGTTTACATTTATACTATTACATACAATTTATAGATTAAATGCTGTTTATACTATTAAATACAAGCATTTGGGAATAAATCAGCTAGGAGCTGCAAGTTCACTGATATCAACAGAAATAAATTTAACACACTATTAATGGTGCAAAATGAACACAATAAATTGGGAAATCCAGCCTTTGTAATATAGTAGGACACAAATAATAATGTTATAACAAGCAACGGCAGTGGAATGCATACAGCAAGCATGCCTTCTTGTGTCACAAAGGACTTCTCTCCAGTATCTTCCTCAAAAATATCACCTGCATTTATTTTTTTTTAAATTATTCTTCTAACCTCCACAAACATAGAAAACTTCTAAAGATGATACAAAGTACTTCAATTCCAAAGCCAAAGCAAATGATTACTGCAATTCAATATAAAGAAGAGAGATCATCAAAACCTATGAGGAAACATGTATCTTCTCATTTTCTTGAGGACAATTTTCATAGCAACACACAGCCAAAAATTTCACCTTCCTAGTTATACAAGATAGTATCATGAATTAAAGGTTTTGGGGAAGGTGCTGGAAGATAAATTGAATTTTCTTTTAAGATGCTGTACCATTTGATTCCCAAGTCTAAGTATTCACCTTCTCTCACTGTAGATATTTCCAGGCTGGAATTCCTATTAGAGTGAAATTCTTTTGCTACTCTGAAGATAGTATAGAGATACTTTCAAATTAAAATTGAATATGCTGTAGGCATGTAATTTTTATCTTGAATTTTAATCTCAGGAACATTCCACAGGGACAGACTGCAGTTTTTATACACATATTTTTGCAAACCAAAATTTTCTAGTATAATTGTTTGTATGCACAGATACCTCTTACTAGTTCAGAAAAAAAGAAAAAAAAGAGAGAAAAGGAGTAAGTGGAACTGGAGATTAGCTGAGTACCACTTAGATTTAACACAACAAAAGAAATCTTATGGCTGGCTTCTATATGGTTGGTTCCTCAATTAAGACTTCTATGAAACAAAAGACTACCTGGAATATGAAGGTATACGCAACAGTACTGAAGTCAAACATCATTAAATCCACAGTATTTGCTCAGCAACTGAAGAGCACAGAAGTATACACATCGATGTCTTCAGTTATGCACGTGTACTCTGAATACACATCTAAAAAGATCCACTGGGCATTGCAATAACTAGATGCTTAATATTTTATAACTCTAGCAGTTCACACATACTTGATGTTGTGAACACTATTTTTCATGCCCTTTTCAAAGGAAGTTTATTCAACTAAAAGTCCTCTCTGACTATGCTGAATACATAAAGAACATGGAAAGCTAGATGATAAAATGCAGATAAGTCATCAGTGTATCCAAAAAGTTCAAATACAAACTGCAAAGCCTCTGGGTAGTTCAAAGTTGGCACGAGGCTGTTATTCTCTAAATGAAAATGACTCAATACAGTGAACAGCTAGCATACATATTGGTTATTTTAGATCTTCATAAAGTCAACACCCTCTTAAAAAATGAAAGAAAAAACCCCCTGTTCTTCAATTAATTTTAAGAGATAGTCTGTAAAGTCAAAGTTTATTTCTAAAAAAAGTTGAATTTGCTACAACCGTAGTTAAAATGATGAATGACAACTATTAATTAACACAGGTTATTTCAAAACTACACATGAAACTCTCCTGTCTTTCTGTCTTTTTTTGCTGTTTAAATTCACTTGAGTGTGACTAGTGAATGCTGTTTATTTGTGGTATGGAAATGATATCAACACTGCCTGATGCCCCTACTAGATCTTTTTCAATGTAACTTGAACAGTATCACCTGACTGAAATAACGTGAAATAATGTTCTACAGAAAAGTTGACCAATTTTAAAAGATGCAAAAAGCTACACATTAAATTTTATTTTATTTTTTATTTAGCATAGGGTTTTGGAATAAAGCAAACAGTCAATAATAGTTCAGAAAAGAAAAAAAAAATCTAGAGGAAGAAAGAAGGAAAATTATATTTTCCTGCCAGATATGGTTAACCTCATATGAAAAAAAAGTTTTTAAAAAAAACTTGCAGAGCAGTTTCAGAGGATTTTACTGATTCTTAATAAAACAGCTAAGTTTCAATCATCAACCTTATTGTGAGGTATTTACCGTATAATATTAACTCTGCCAAGTCTCTCAAGACACTATTATTACTAACACTTACAGTTCATATATTACGAACACGTGATAATGTAGCTAACATAAATATATAACAAATGATACTTCTTGTCCCAGGGTGTCTTCTATTTCTGTATAAAAATAGCCAAAAAAATAATGCGCTGATACTGTAACTAATTAAAAATGTAGGGAACCCTACTGCCTCACATATCCCCATGAAAACACTGAATTGTATCTTTTTAGTATCAAAGATAGCCTTTTTATACCATAAATATTATTTTCCACTGCAGGCCTGGAAACTCTCTCATGTCATTTTTTGTAAAAAAGATACTCCAAATCCCGACAGTTAAGGAATTACTTTTCATTTTTAAATGTATGTACATATACAATAACATATTTGTACACAGAGGTAGGGAAGAAGGATCTCAACTTGCAATAATTTTTCTGTCTTGTAGTATTTTTCCTCTGCTCTTTGTTATGCATTTCTTAAATACATTGTGACACTCCTTCCCTGCTATTTCTAATATAAAGACAGCTAAGAACTTCCATCTCCTTCCCCGCTGCTTCCAAGAGTTCCACTGACAAATCACTGCACTGCATTGCCTGGTGAGCTACATTTTAAACTGACTGACTCCAAACAACCCATATCATGAAAGGAACTGATAGTTACCCAGGTGCCTTCTTTTCTTTCACTTCACATAACAGGGGTTTCTTGCAAGGAGATTTACTTTCTGCATCTTCTTGCTTAGTTGTTTCTATTACAGTTTTCCCAGATGATCGACTGTGAGCTGAAGATTTCATACCTACGTGACCAGGGCTGGGGCATTTTCTGTCACTGTTTAAAACAAATTGACAAAATGTTTAAAACTGAATGCAGCTGAGTTGTTGTTCAACTTATTCTCTCTATGGGTAAAGAGTCATTAGTGTAATTGAAAATATACAAGGTTTTTGTTTGTTTCTGAAATACACAGCAGATTTTTACTTGTCACCAACAAAATCATACTTGGGATTATCAGAGATCACAAAACAGAAGCCTCTTCCCCATGAAATCAAAGGTAAAAAGTTCAGGTGATTCAATAGGAACAAAATTTCACTAATGTTATTTTTGATAATAAACTATCCACTTTAAATATCTGTAACGGAAGAAAACTTTGAAGTGTCATCTTCCTGCTATCCCTTCTTTCCCTTCCATGATATGCTGCTGAGCAGCCAGGACCCTTTAAAAATGTTATGCAGTCTTTTAACTGGGACAATGAAAAAACCACGCTTGACACAGTTCCTGCCACAGCAAACACTGCTCCAGCTGTTACTGGCTTCACTGGGATGGTACCCTGGCTACCTGTCAGAGGGTAATTAAGTCACTTTAGATTTCTACAACCCTACATTTATAAGAATGGTTGAACCACACAGTGCTCTTTGACAGCTGAATAGTTTGGTTTTTGAAGCATGAAGCTGAAACTGTCTCCAAGAATGTAATTTAAAATACCATCTACTGAAAACACGTGGTCATTACAGTGGAAACTGGAAATCTTCACTACAAGCGTTCACATTTTCATATTTACATTAATGTAGCCCTTGAAAAGAATGGAAAGCCTCTCTTCTTTTCCTTTCCTTCTTAAATTATCTGTGTATTGTCACAGCCCAAAATAAGCACAGGAGCTGGTGTCCACAATTTCTGATAGAAAATCATAATCTGAAAATCATCATTTTGGTATCACATCCCTTTGTTTTTTCCCAGTGCTCCTGCTAGAGGCTTCAGCAGACTTTAGCATCGTTCTTGCAGAACTCACTTCCTGTAATTTGATTCCCCACAATAACAACAGAATTTATAGTGGCTATTCTTCAAAGGGCAACATTAATTTGCAGTCACATCAATAAGGCCACCCCAGCAAACAAAAGAAACACAAATAAATCGTTTTCTTAGGTGAAACCAACTGACAAATGATCTATTTTAAATTCCAATTAACCACTTAGTAGTCTAGATAGTCACGCTGAAGATGAAACCGAACTCTTGTTAAATCATACATAGTAAAATCAGTATCAGTCTTCGACAGCTCCGTGACCTTTACGATAAGCACTGATGAAACCATTTCTTCCCTGTAAATGAAAATGTAGATAAATAGGCAGGCCCTTCTGAAACCATTCAGCCATTACACGGCTACAAATTATGTTGCAGAACACTGAAATAAAGTACTGCTGTTAGTCACGGGCATTGTTTCAATCGTAATTACTTGATTACAGGAGAGGTGGATCTTTCACTTGCTTCCACTTTTCTGTTTCTGGGGACAGGACTGGCTGCAGGCATCTCCCCGCTCAACCGGTCAGGCAAGAGGCTTTCTTTGTTCAAGTTCATCTCTGAATATGGGCAGCTGACTGCACTAGAAGTTGAAGAAGAGAAATGCCTCCTTATTCTCAGACACTTTACTGACTTCACTCAGTTCAAATGAAATGACATCAGAGACCAGTTTTCTAGAAGTAAATGCAATTAATATAAAGAAGATTAGAAAAAAATGCAGTAAGTAGTCATATGTTAAAATGTTAATAAATCCACTGATTAAAAACCTCAACCTGAATGTTTTTTGCATTTCCTTTTGACAGCAACTTACGTTAACACAAACTGTGTTTGTTTATATTACAGCATACATTCTTGAAAATTGCTTGATGAATGCTTAGTTTGCTCTCTCACACCTTTAATGGTATTTTATACATAATATACAGGGTGCCTTTGACTATGCCTACCTCTCACCAAGTAAAATCATATTCCCATGGTTATTTTTTCCTGCAAAGGAGAATATTTCTATTATGTAATGTCCACACAGAAGCTGCATTGCAAGGGCACAGTATGAGGAATGCTACACATTCTCTTACAGCAGTGAATGCCCCACCTTTGCAAATGTCATTTTTAGATACTCCCATAAAGGACCATGGTATTTTCAGTCTTTCCTATCATTCAACACTCCTAACTTTGCTACACTCCAACTAGAGAAGGAAAGAATCTGACCCTGTGCTTTGACAATGACTTGTAGACATCTCTAACAAATGTGAAAGTTGTACCTCCCACAATGGGTAGGAAAGGGAAGAAAAGCAACACAAATCACACCTGGCTGAACTAGGATTTTGTCTTTAGAAGAATGTAATACAATGTTCAACTGATTAGTCAGGCTACATACTCACAATTCAAAGATAATATCCCAAATTCTCTAAGGTATATATATGCCACAACAGTGAATAACAACATGATCAGTTTTCAAATCTCTATTTAAGATACAGCAGAAGCTGTACTAAACATAATGTTCTATTTGTGTTTCATGAACCATGACATTAACTATAATCAAAAATTATGCTTTTCTACTCACCTGTATTGTTACAAGGACCTCTGCAATGGTAGAATGTAAAAAACCCCTATCTTAGAATTTTGTTTATTTTCCTTTCAAGAATATAACTCTCTGGCTTTCCATAAACTACTGCAATGTTGTATTTGTTTCACTGATTGTTACATGCATGATTTTCAAACAGAACTGTCCAGTATAAACAAGCCTACCTTGCCAGCCATATACCCTGCCACCTCCCAATTACAAAAACTAAATGGAAAACCAACAGATAACATTATCATGTTCGCTTTACAAACCACAGAATAAAAAACGGCCTTTTTATTCAAAATATGCCATACATTCTCCTTTTCATTTACTGATGAAGTTTTGGATTCATGGTGTGTATGAATCAACTCCTAGCACAAGACTGGACCACTATTAACAATCTAATTTTGGCCTTACCAGCATAAACAAAAAGTTGGTGGAAATTTACATTTCTCTCAGCACTAGCACAAAAGGAAAAAATTCCTTAAGGCTACACAGGCCAAGTCAGGCAGTGCTTGCTGGAGTTATTGACACAGGACTCCAACGGCATGTCTGATTTTGTCAGTTGGTTCACTTGAAAATATGACAGTATCAAGCTTGGGTTTTTTCCCTTTTTTTTTTTTTTTATTTTTTTGTTTGTTTGTTTGTTTGTTTTGTTTTTTTAAAATCCTTGTATAGCTGTGCTGAACTTGAATTATGGAGGAAAAATATGCCAGTGGAATACAATCTCTGCTTTTCTAATCAAGATGAGATCCCCATTTCAGCCCATCCCAAGCTGATGGTGTTCTACAACAGCCTGTAGAGTGTTTCCAAGGGACATACAGCCATCCATTCCCAGAGGATGTACACAGGACAGTTATCTTTGCCGCCTTCTGAGGAACTGGGTGGTAGTCCCAGCACCTCCCCTGAGATACAGGCACTGAAGTCTTTTGCCAGGAGTACCTTCATACAAGAAGTTTACATAGCAGAAAAAGATACAGCCAAATGTGTGGCTGGACTCTAACGCACTATATTTGAAATAGGGTAGGCTTTTTTGTTAATGAAAATGTTTTAAAGATGCGGAATAGAATATACAAATTAAAATTTAACTTGGAGCATTTAACTTTTAGTTCTAATTTTTCTTGAGCAGAATTTGACATTTTCCTTTGGATTTATTTATATTCCTCTACTTACATTTATTTTTCAACCTACTGGCTTTGTCTGTCTTAGGACACCTTAAAAGAACAAAACCACATGAACTGAAAGATGGGGAAGCAAAGAGGAACAATAGGAAAGAGGAGGTTGCTTTATATTCTCAAGTCTTTACATTGCTACATCTATCACAGCGATGTCTTTTTTCCCTTTCAAATGAACTACAAGATAAAAGATACAGGCTTCTATTCAGAGAAAGGTTTTAAACAATCAATGCTAGCGGGATTTAAATTCTTGCTGTGACAAACTCATACCACTGTGATGAAATACAGTTATCAGAAACTCAGAATTATACTGGTTAATCTCAGTTCTGCCACTGCTATAAGGCAAAGCATGTAATCTTCTTTTGGCTTCCTATGATCACAGGGGTGTTTTGAGGCTTAGTGTTCTTAAGCAATCAGAGGGTTGTCTCAAGGAAACACTAAACACTAACAGTGTGCAGTGTGGTATCTAACTTCAGTTAAACAAGCCTTATACCACAATGAAATCTGACAACATGATTTCATTTCCAGCAGGCCTTCTGTTTACCAACACCATTAAGATGTTTTAAATTAAAAAACAAGAAAAGGCCCCAAAATTCAGTCCTTCATGAGAACTTGCCTGTTTATATACTGCTTCTTCCTTTATCATTTTCTGGAAAAACAGAAGTTGAATGACAATTTCAGTCAATGATAGCTATAATATTAGCAATGCTTTAGAACAATAGATTCAGATTAGTTTTTCTTTGTAATTAATCACCTGAGTTGCCGTGTTATTTTTTAACAACTCTTTGATAGTCTTTTGATGTTATTATTACTTGGGGCAACAAAAAGAACCCTCAAGTTTTCCACTGGTATCTTTGTTTCAAAAAAACATGGCATGAATGAACCTGTGTATGAGTTACATGGCTTCAGATCAATCAGTAAATCCTCCCAAATCTCAATGCCTCCAGCCTTCAGTTCAGTTTAACTTGTCTTCTACAAAGATTAAAAAATTAATCTTGTTATTCCTACATAATAGAAGTAATTGATTTATACAGGACTGTATGGTTTAGAGACAACTCATCTCAAAGGCTCAGAAGCCTTGATGTTTAGATTATTTTGTATTAAATTAGAATTTTTAATTCTTCTGCCAACTTAAACCTGGATTTCTGCTCCACCTTGAAGTTTGCCTTAGCACACTATTTTGAAAACTGCAGAAGTTCAGAAGCCAGTTTCCAAAATGATCAGATGTCCTTGACTTGGGAGTACCAAGGTCTGCCAGAGGCACAGGGAGCATGGCACAAAGTAGAAGCACCAGCAGGTACCCAATTTGAAAACTACTACACATGTGACAGGGCTGTACATCACCTGTGCTGCTTCACAGCTTTGAAATCAGTCCAACGCAAAGATACTCAGTTATCACCTGAGCTGCTTCAGTAGGCTCAACCCCTATTTCAGTAAACAAATAACCACATTAACACCACCTGACTTCCCCACACAGGAGAATTAATCAGCCATCTCCAAACGTTGAAGGATCAACATAGCACAGGAATTAGCTATCTGCTGTACACTCTGCATCCTACTGAAATGGCAACAGAGTGTCTGGCAATACACGTGTCCATAACACAGTTCTCTGAGGAAAGGGAGCCACTCTTTCCATAGTCCTGCATAGGCTGAGTAAAAACTGAGCATTAAAATAATCTGTTTTTATCAAATCAGGAAAGATCAACAAAGGAAAAACCCAATGCCCCAATTACTACTTCTTGTGTACCGTTCTGAAGAATTCCAGTGATCACAGGCCTGGGATTTTCAAGTCAAGAGAGGTTTTACATAATCAGCCCTTTTCAGAACTGTCTGATGGAACAAAAGTATCAAGGTAGCATATCCAATTTGTGGTTATTTTGCAACTGCTCTTCTATCACTCTCATGATCTATCTCTAGGTAGGGTTACACACATATGTTTTTTCTCTAAAGTTCAAGGGTAGTAGAATAAACTGGGCTACTGATGGGTGGGCATAGTCTTAGTCTTCTACAGACATCTGGAGATGCTCCTATCTTCTAGTAGTATGCAAAGCTTCTGAAGCACAGAGTCCAACTGTATTACTCAGCCACAGCTACACCTAACATCAGAAGGGAACGTAAGCCAGGATTCTCTTAACTTGAGTAAGAAGAGTAGGGTGTACTCCGTTTGGTAAAACAAAGTTAATACTAAAGTATTTTAAAATACAGATTATCAGTCTTTATGGCTGCTTGGAATATTTAGCAAACCTGTGTGAAGTCACAGACAAGTCTCCTATTTTAGCTGTACTGGTTGGAAACGTTACCAACCCCAGCTCCTCATTGCCTTTCAGGTACAGGTAATTGCCCAGCACTGCCAGGGGATGAGGTTGTACGGCAGCTCCAAGAACATTCACCTGGATTGGCTCAAACTGTCTTCATTGATGGGTTAAGCAAATAGATTTGCCTAACTGATGGATTAGACTTTATCTAGAGCAGCCTATGTCCAGATGACCGCATCTGCTGGTAGTGGTACGTGATTAATAAGAAATCTCCAGCAAAAAGGTCCTGACCAACATCAGGGGGATGTATTGGTTTTTTTCTGCTGGATTTTTTGTTAAGTGATGACTTTACTTTAGTTGACTTCATGAAAACATTTTTAACTAGTCTGGAAACAAGAGATACAAACCTTCTCTTCCACAATTTACAGTGCATGTTTTTCATCAAAGCATTCATTTTTAGGTGAAAGCTGCTTCAACAGTCTAAACCTGACTCAAGAGTAGCTTGTAACAGATTTGGCTGGGGCCAGTGACCTTACATAAAAGATAAAACGAAACTCGAGACTGGCATCAAAATGAGACAAGAAATACTTCAGCAAACACTGAATGAATAGATGCGACACCCTGCTGAGCTGAGGTTTCCCACATTTCTGTGCTGTGGTTCTCTTCCAACACAGCCTCCACTATGGCACATTTAGTTCATTTCAATTTACACATAATGCATGTGAAGTTTCTGGTAAAAATCTTTATTCATGGACAGCTGACCCAAAACACTAATGACCTGTTTACAACTGACCACTTTGCATTACTGCTCGAACTTGAAAATGATTGCATGCATTAAACATCAGGGACCATACAGTTCATAATCATAAATATGCAAGTGATCTGCATAACACTACCAACCTGCACATCAGTCTGTTTCAACTGCACAGCACAAAATCCTGGATCAACTGGTGATAGATACCAAGTCCTTATTAACATCAACTTTTCCAAAAAGTAAATGCTTTAACCTCCCTACATAATTAATCACTGAGGCTTTCATCTAGTTCCTAAGGAACAAGCTCTCAAAATTATTTCAGAACTACTTAGCATTTTAAATTATCATATTTTCCGCACATTGGCATTTATGATGTAGATAGATGTTGTACCTTATCATGAAAAAAAGATTAAGCATGGTTAAATACATTTCAAGGTTGCCAAGATAAAAGAACCAAGGGACTGCCACCTGACGTGGATAATTATACCCGCTTCAAAATGTCTGTGTTCATTCCAGAAAAAAATGATAGTACGTTAGAATTTTGGGGGTTACCTGTACTCTAAAGTCTGTAGACTCCAGATAAATAACAAATCTCATTATTTTCCTCAGAAATGTTCAAGAAAAAAAACAACAATATCAGCACACGGGGGAAAACCAATATATTTAGTGAATAACATAGTTAACGTTGTTAGTTTATTTGCTGTGAAACAGCAAATACCTGTCTTACGAACAAAATCTCTGTTGTTATATATCTATCCCCTAGAACTATCAGTTAATGTGCTAAGATCATAGTAAAAATAAAACATGATAGATGCCATGAGTTTATTTCTTTTCTTAATATTCCAGATGAGTAAGTACAACAACTTTAAATACCATGTAAAATCTAGTTATAAAAGCAAAGGCTACATGAACTAACTAGGCATACAGCTCTTACCCACCCCTTCCCCATGAAACATTAGAAGTTTTAGTGCCAACGTTTATTTGGAGAGATCATAAATTAAAAATTTTTCTGACACATTCACTTAAGGATTTTTTTGGGGTTTGGTTTGGTTTGGTTTGGTTTGTGTTTTTTCAAGTTTCAGCCTTGGGCTAAGAATGGGTATATTAATCTGATTCTAAGTAACTGAGATAGCACACGGTAAGGAAGATAATACTCTGAATTGGAAGTTATTGCCTTACAGATCAGGTACATTAATAAATCATACAAGACTCAGTCTACTAGAATATGAAATAAAATAGGTTTCAGCTAAGCAGCCAGGAAGCTTTTTAGGCAAGTCTAGCTTCACATTCACAGTGGAGTAATAACATGAACACAGTAGGTTATCATATGCTAACTGAAAGATGGTAACCTCTTAAGTACTAATGTGACTGTTTAAGGAGTTATCCTGCTGATTGAGTGCAACAAAGCTTCTCAAAAGGGAAAGTAGAAAAACTGAAAAAAATAAACCACAGAAAAAGAACATGGACTGAAAAAGACAAAAGGAAAAGGGTGGGAATAATCTGAAAAACAGCAGTGCGGCATACTGTGTCATGACACCACCGCCACAGTTCATACTGGAACATGTTTTGGCACTGGAGCTAACCTAGCCATGGAGATAAAGCTTGGGTTAGCACCAGGAGTTCTTCTGCCCCCTAACACCACAAATGCAATGCCTCTGCTGTAGACAGGAAAGAACTTCTTGGAGCAAAAGATGTCTTTTGCACACTAAAGATGTAACAACACAGTGAGTTTTGCTGGCAGGTAACTTTGTTAGGGGTGAGTCAGGACTTCAACAATTGCTGATACACCACCAGCACCTTGTAGCGTAATTCTAGCCAACAGGACATAATTCTCTCAAGAAAAACATGAGAAGAGCGCAAAGCTAACTCTTGGATCACAGTAGTTTAATAATACACTTAAAAAACCTGATTAGACAATCAAAGAACTGTCCTTCAACCATACGAGAGCAGAAATCACAAAATGGTATGACAGTTGAGGATCGTATGACTCTGTAATGGAAAAATTCCAAGAAAACTTCTAGAAGCTCTAATTTGCAAAAAAGTAATAGGATAATATTTATGGTACTTAATTCTCAACTTAACATATTACATTAACTTTATATCCCTTACTGAAATAGTCAGGATTCACCTCATACTGTAAATATTTTAAAAGTAATAAAAATTTGACTTAGTAAATGTTTTCTATTTACTGACATTGTCTCTCTGTCCTCCATTCCATTCTCCCATGCTACTACTTTCCCTATGTTAACTCTCCTGTAGGACAGCTTGTGATGTCCACATTTCCGTATTATATTTCAGAAGGTGTTCAACAAAAGCATCTTTAGAAACACTAGGTACAAAGAGCAAGTTGTTCCTAGGTACAAAGAGCAAGTTGTTCAGGCTGTCATTTGGGAATACATCCATCGGAATGTCCTTTTTTAGAATTTTTCCAAGCCAATAAGCAAACCTTCACCCCTACCAACCAAGCAGAACAAAAACATCCAAGCCATAATAAAATTAGTGACCTCATATTTCAAAAGGTTCACAGGTTATTGATTTATACATATCTATCTGTAATATTTTGCAATCCAACCAGCAAGCTGAGGAATCCTCACAGGAACAAAATACAGAGTAGATGAATCTATCAATTGTGACAAAAAATTATGTTCGACAAATCTTATCTCGGCACACCCTAGTGAAATGAAGTTACAGATTGCTAATGTTTATTTCAGCATGCTCACCATGGCAACTGAAATCATTGCATATTTAGGTTTACAAGATTTCCTATTTTTTTTCCAGCTTGGATCTGTTCTCTTGTGAACAACAATTAGAAAAAATCATGTGCACACATCACTCAATCAAAAGAATAAAATTAGAGTTTCATAGTACATACCTATGATGGCCAATATGTCTTGCTCTTTTAATGTGCCCAACTCCTTTACATCCTGCTGTGGGACACCCTCCATGCTCTAAAGCTTCCACCAATTCCAAGGGACCTGCATGTCAGGGTAAATTACATATGAGATTAAAAAAAAAGTATCTAAACTTTAGAAGTTATATAAATATGCAGGAGTTCTAGAGTATCATAGTAAACATGAATAAGAAATAAGTAAACAAAAACTAATTTCAAAGTACTTTAAAAGTGCATTCTGCAAAAGCATGATGGAGATTCAAGCAACCTAATCCACTGGAGAAATAATTTTATTCTGTGTGAATAAATCTCTACAGGAAAGCTACATCTACATAAAGAATGTAAATCTTGGAGGAACTGTATAATTTCAAATTTCTCTCCTATTAACTACCTGTAGTTTGAACCTGGTTGTTTTGCAAGAACACAGACAAACTAAGTTACCCTGCTGTCTTGAAGACAGGGATCTGTTCATAATGGGTAGTGACCTTCTCCATTTTTAGCTCAAATTTTCCAGTGAACAAGACGTGACAACAAAGGCTGAAAATACTACCAAAAAGAACACACCATCAGGAGATTTTTGACATTTTTACTTATCCGAATTTATATGTCTGTCTGATTTTCATCAACCTGTAACAACGACGCTGCAGAGACATTAAAGCATGTAGGTGTCAAAACTAGCTTTGACACTCAAACAGAGTATATGACCTGTAGGTTCATAGCAAGTGAGAGGCAGACCTACTCCACTATATAAAACTGAGAACACCTCCTGCACATTTGCAAACACGTACTGTCTAGTACTGGTTTTACTTGAAAAGTACATGAACTTGTATCTCCCCCTACAGATAACAATACTGACATAAAAAGGTCTATTTAAACAAATTTCCCTAGATGAAAAACAAATTATTGCTTGCAGATGGATAATGAAAGACAGAAAATCATTATGTATAATTAGGACAGTCCAAAAGCATTTAACAAATGTTCTATCGATGCTAATGTTACAACACTATGACTACACTCAAAGACTTCTATAGGCTTTAAAATGGTGTAATGGATGAGAGAACAGAGAATTTTACCTTTTCTACCTTTATGCAAAATTGATGCCAATAATGTTGAAAGCTAGTGGACTCAGAGGAAGACTAACTTAATAGGGACACTTTTGTAACAGGAAGTTCTGCCTCACTCATGCACTGGTTTTGGGAAAACTAGCTCCCTACAGATGTTCTCTCCTCACTTAAATTCAAACTCTCTAAAAATGTAATTTAAAAGAGCTGCAACTAGCTGTCCATATTTATGCAAGATGCTGCTTGGATCACTGTGAAAGTATTAAAATCAACATCAGTACATGGCTCTTAATTCCCTAACTTCTACCAAAAAGGTCATAATCCATCCTGATGACTTCACTACATCTTAAGTGAAAATACTATGAGTATATAAATACTGTGTAAGACCATTATGATGACTGCTCTAGACTAATATTGGTAACACTGTGCAGTGTTCACACAAAGCTTGTAGTGCTAAAGACAGAGATCTGGAGCACATCATGAAAAGGACTAATTTACTGACTAAGGAAAAAATACCGTGTCTTGCGAAGTACTTTCTTCCCTCCTTCTGAAACCCTTTCAAAAATTTGAAACGTACTTTAACTTACTTGGAAACAGTATTAATATGCTTATAATGTTCTACATTCTATACCATATTCTATGGTAATAATAGAAAATCCCATTGTTGGAAGAATATATTATTCAGTAGTCATCATATTTTAATAGTATTTGTGCTCTTAATTATTCTTTTTCTATTTAATGGAGGGTCACTTTCCCTCCTGTCACACTGTCCATCTTTGTTTTTGCGGCTTAACTAGTATTAAAGTTACTTCCACCAGTCCCATCCTAAAAAAGATGAACAGTACCTCCTATGCCATCAGCAAGAGAAGATAACTTGTTGTATGTGATGAGCATCTGTATTTTGTTTCTTTTAATGTCTCCAACAAAATGAACTTGTATATTTTATACACCCATCTAGGCTAAGATTTTTTTTTTTCAATCTGAGGTAATAGAAATGTTGCAACTTTATCAAACTCCTTTGCCATATGATACAGCTTTTGTTTATGTGGCCACAGACTACTTTTTCCCACTGGACTGTTCCTTCATTCAGTACACACGATGCACATCTCAGATTAAGAAGCAGTAATGCAGCATCCTATCTTCTCCTCATTATTCACTTTGTGCTTTGGCACTTCGGCACTCTATTCAGACTCTGCTTTGAAGGCAGAATGATTAACTTCCTAACAGGCAGTCATCACTGTACCACTGAAGTGCTCAGAGAACTAATGAATATACTCTGATCACGCTCTTGATAGGAAATGTTTCTTCTTGACATTTTAGAGATGCTGAGTTGAGGTACTGAGATTTTCAGGTAACACATTCACACAATCTGTGTATGCCTTATCCCAATTATTTTACATTTAATTTTTTTCAGAGTACTTGGCATTGCTCAGCATTTCTTACTTTTCCAAGCACAGCTCTTTCTGATCTCAGTTACAGCTGTGAACACTCAGTACTTGTGCAAACCATACCTCAGAGTCACAATATAAAACAATCCCAGAGAAGAGCACTGAATTAAAAATCACCTGTTCAAAGTTTGTCTAAAGTGATTTCACTATAATTATCCAGAAACATAATGGCACAGTCAGGGATATCTTTACCACAAAAGTCTCCCTGCAACCCGCAGTCTCACTTATGACAGACATCCCAATTCTTCAACAAGTAAAACAAAATCCCCAGAGAAGGCAAGCTGGTAAATACTGTATTATTATTGGTACCATACTTCTGTTAGATTTATCTTCAATGTGGGCACCATTAGCGCCTCTCTGCTCAGCTGAAGAAGAAAAGGAAGTTAGCTGGTTTTGAGGATTTCCCACAGCACTTGAAAGGAGTGCATTCTCAGTGCAGTCTTGACTCCTTCGGGCTACAAAGCATATTAACCTTCAATAGAATGTGGACAGAAGATTTTTAAGAGTGATACCCTGTCTCTACTGAGTGCCACAGCCATCTGATCACTGGCTTTGAGAAGGCCAGGATTTTACACAACAGATCTCTACCTTTACTTCAAGGCTTTGACTGCAGTTCTTAACGCACACAGAGAAACACTGCACTTGCATTACAGTAAGGGTAAATAAAGCTATCTACTAAAAACTGATTAATTACTGACTGTCGATTTTGCACTAAATGTCACATTTACATTATTTTGCATATCCTAGTTGCTACTCTTCCTTGGATGGCACTGTTAGGGAAAAGACAGCACTGTAATTTTCATATCATTACAATATAATGTGATTTCTCTTACTGAGTGGGGGCTGAAGAGGGTGTCCAGTTTTTGTACACCAGCCTGCAGGATGGATATCAGGGCTATCTACATCAGTCCAATAATCATAAATACTATCCCAGCCATCAAAATGGACCTAAAATCAAAAAAGGAGAACAATACATTTTAGATAAAAAAAATTCTCTATAAAATAAGTTTCCCTAAGTAATCTCTAAAACTGACATGTCCACTAGAGAAGTCAGTTGAACTTGACTAGAGAAGTCATAGAGAACTATCAAAGTTACACAGAAAATAAACGTACATTAGATTTTGAACCCAGGCATACCATCACTGAAGTAAAAGAGAGGGGTGTCATTCAGTTGTTTACTACGTCTTGCATCAACAGGCTTGAATCTCAGGTTTTGAGCAGGCAAGTTTAGTTCTCACATTAATACTGAAATTAAGCATGAATTCCCACCTTTATTCTCTCTCAAAAAAACCAAAAAGTCCAAACGGTTTTTAATCTCCTGTTTGAACAGGATTTAATAATACCAGAGCACTAAGCAAAGTCCTGAAAAAATTGCATTTATCCATAAAAAACAAACAAACCCCCCCAACATACAATGAATAATTTTACTAAAATCAGACTATACAGGATAAGGAGTTGAAACTAAAGAGAAAATGAAGTATGTGACTTCCCAGAAAATCACTAGTATGGGCTATACATGCGGGTTTTTTTAGGCAAAAGCTAAGTATCTCAAATCTTACTTGACCTGTGTACTAGTAAATAGCTCAGATCTCTCATGCGTGCATGTGGATGCACGTACACGCAGATACATACAGAGCTCTTTCAACATATGCTACAGAGTCAAATTACTACCCTAGAAGCTACAAAACCTGTCATTTTAATAAATTAGACTGGAGAGGGGGGTTTTTGCTTGTTTTGGTTTTGTTTTTTGCGTGACCAACTTAAAGTTTTGATAGAAAATGTGTAGGTGTGAAGATGTTAGTTCTGATGACTCCCTACCACCAGTAAATGCCAGCTGCATTTCTGCTTGAAATACCATGTATGTCTAATAAATCTGTACAAATTGCAAAACCAAATATCCTTCATATCCACCTAGCTGGACATCTGGAATATTCTAGCCCTTCTAACAGTTAAGGGCTTCAGGGAATAAACTGGTTTTGTACAGTAAAAGAAAAATAACTCAAGTATACAACTTCTGGAAAACTGCAATTTCTTAAAAATACATTATCTGAAATTAATCCAATTTAAAGTCTGTAATTAAGATAAATTTCAGAATTGTAGGAGTCGCTGAGAAGGCACAAGAGATCAGGTTTCTTTTTTTATATCTCCCTTGTATCTCTCGTCTCCCTGGAAGTTTATAGAGACAGATTCAATTAACCTAGGCCAAATATTTTATGGGCCCTAATATAAATATCACAGCAGCCCTTCAACACTTGATATTAAATCATCATATTTCTTGATAGAATAGAAAACTCTTTTATATCAACTACTCCCAAAGCAATTTTCGAACATATTCAACTCTGCTCTCTAATTACCTACGTCAGCAAATGTAACTAAGAGGATAACAGAACAACCCCTTCCAAAGGAATTATATGCATATTAATCAGTGAAAAGCTTAGCAGGGCAAAGCAATGCGACTCATTTCTTCCTGTGCTCAATTTTACAACTATAGGATTTTGTTTTTACAAAGTAGTCATCAGCTACTCAAGGACAGTACAGTAAGACAGAGAAACTTACTTTTATTCTATAGTCATCAGTATCTACAATAGTTGCTACTCTGATAAATACTGGATTTCTCTTGTCAACTACTTCAAGTTTCATGTTTTTCTGAAAGCCATGAGAAGGTTTCTAGAAAAGAAGAACACTGTTATGTGAAACAGAAGAAAACCTCAAAAATCTCACACAATTCTAAATTATATAAAATCCATAGGAAATTGTCTGCCTTCATTTTCTCAAATCTGCCCTTCCCCTCCAACAAACCCAAGCATAAAAAGATCATTCAAACTAGTCTTCTTAGAGAAATGAAGTAACTACTTTGGGATTCCAGGTTCTCCATTCAAGCCTTCCAAGCAAGTAAGAAGGGACCTTTATTTTAAATCAGTTGGGTTTTTTCCCTAAATTCTCCAGAAAAGTTTTCCCAGGGGTTTTGGCCATCACTTTCAATACAGTGTTGAATGAAGTATTACATACCATCAGCCTGAAATGTCTATGAAATTGTCTACAGGAAACATTTGTGGTTTTTAGTACGTTTTCGCTTTGTGGATCAAACACTGTTTTTCAGTCTCCTCCTGAAAATGTAACTAATCCACAGCATAACAGTAAATACTCATTCAGAACAAACAGGACCTAATACCTGTTTTGTAACACGATTTTGGCAAAAAAAAAGGTGTCTTTGTTAGGAGTATCACATTTATCTTTGCCATCTACAGCTACGAAATCTATTTCCATTTTAAAGGAACTAATGCACAAGACACTTTATGTTTCTAACTTTAGATTTCTAGGAAAATAACATATCTGTATTTCCAGACCTTCCATAACATTGGTGCTTTTTCCTCAGCTGCAGCTTAAGAACACTATTTTTCCCATGATACAGTATAAAACACCGTGACTGTTTCAGGAAGACTTCACCCAAGCTCTAACACAATCATCATTTTATTCCCATTAAATCTCCTTTCTTATTGTTTATCACAATTAGCATTAATATGGTTACCATTATATTAGCACAGAAAGCAGGGAGGGGATTTTCCCTGGCTGTGAAACCAAAAGGCAGAGCACAGCTGACGCCCATGCAGTCAAGCTCTCCTTTCCCTCCAACCTCAAAGCCCGATGGCCTTGCCTGTGCTACCTTCTGGGCCTTACACCATCCTTAGCTGCTCTCTGCTAGTATGGTTTTTGGAACCGTGTTGAGCCATGCCAGCTAGTGCTCTCCCAGTTTAATGCTGTCAATGCCTGCACGCTTGTGGCGTGTCCTTTTCAGTTTCCCAGTGCAGACATGGCCAGCCAGACCCTGCAGGCCATTGGTGGGGCACTCCCACTGCCAAGCCTTGTTGGATGGCTGTTCCCTGAACCCCAGGAGGAGAAATTAAAACATGGATGCTCTGAGAGAAAAAGAAAACATTTGCTTTTAGCTTGATGTAGTCAAGGTCACAGCCCTCCACTGTTTTGACAAGGACTATACCTCTCAGATATAACCAAATACCTTCCTAATCCTTGCTCTGTGTATTCTTGCTGAGAATGCAAGATTGAGACACGAATGCAGGATTGATTTAATAAAACCAGATGTATTTTGGGGTGACAAACTGCTGGTCAGTAATAAACTCTGGTGATCTACTGATCCTAGGAACTGCTACAAGCACCACATTTCTGCTTTCGTTAATCCAGCTTTTAGCAAAGTGTTACTCAGAATTAGTGACCCTAATCTGAAAAGCCAAGGCAAACCAGCTTCAGTATGCTGTGAGACAAGGCGTTGGGAGCTACTAGCCAGCTGATGCTGGCTCCTAACAGCAATAATCTCTGTCTTACTGACCAGTCCACTTTTCTCACTGAGATCCTAAGAGCTCAAGAAAGATGGGTGTCACTGAAAGAAACTAGCAAGTACAAAGCTAAAAGAAAAGGATGTTGTTCACAAACACCATAGTTAAATTGGGAAGCTGCCTGTGGATGCTGCCCATGTGCCCTAGTCACAAGCTCGCAGAAGAAAAACTCTACTGAAGGTTATTAAGTACAAACTCTCTCTTGGCTACTGCCAGAGACAACGGACTGGATGGGCAACTAGCCTGACCTCCTACAATCGTTTCTACATTCTCACTGTATTTATTGACCATTTAAAATGTACAGCTAGAAATACTTATGCTCAAAATATGTTACGATGACTCGGTAGCTATCTCATTATTTCTAATAATTAGGCAGTAATTTCCCATAGCAAATTACATTCATTAGTAATATTTTGTAGCATTTAATCCCATTTATAATGATTAAAATAATAAAGTAGAAGTGATTTATAATAGTAATTATCTGATTTCTAACAGTGAGCTGCAAGCTTGCATAAAAATAAAACACCTATTATTGCAACTAATTAACTGGTTACATTTGGAAACACAGAAACACCATATATGTATTCTCTTATTTAATTAATTATATGCACTCAAAAGCGTGAAAAAAATATAAGCATTTTCTCACCACTTTAAAAGCCCTTGCAGGTGCAGGTAATGAACTGGTTTCTTCCAAATACTTCTCCCAAGAAAAATGCTTAGCGTGTGGATAATCTGGCACAGAAGAAATACAAGCAAAATTAAACACTGCAGCACAAAAAATAAACCTGATGCCTAATTTACAGAATGCCTAACATTTTTATAATACTATTCTGATTTATGCTTTAGATTTATAAAATAATTACAAGAAAGGCTATTCTAAATTGTCTCTGACACATTCACCACATAGGTTAAAAAACCTAAGCATCTTCTCATGCACAATACCAACTAGCTACCAGAAAACAGTCACAATTGCTTTGAGTATGGGACTATAAATAATGTGGACTGGAAAAATCTGTCCACTTAATTAAGAAATTCATTCAAGTATTATAAGGCTAATCCTGTATTTTATAAACAGTAATTTACTGGCTAACACAATCTAATCAGTGATAACTTTGTAGCACAGTAGAGCACACCTGATTACTTGCTATTCTTTTTGCAAGTGAATTTGTTTTAACTAAGTTTCTAAAAAAATAGCCGGGACGTTTACTAAAAGAACAATTCACAGACATCATCAAAGCAGATGTTGCCTTTCTCAGAAAGTATCATGATTACAAACACCTTATGCCAGAAACACAAAGACAGATTTGCTCCTCAAGAAAAGGCAGTGCCTGTCCTTTGCCTTTAATCTGTACTAGAAGTTTAACTTGAAGTTCAAACATTATAATTCATAATCTAGAACAGAATAAAATCAATTCTGATTTGTTTTAAAAGGGATTTCACCGAACAATAGCCTGTAATTAACCTCCTGACAGACAGATTGCTTATGACTTTTCAAGACCGGTGGCTATTAGAATTTCTGTCAAAGTTGGTTTTAATCAATTAAGATTTTCCATGTTCTCAGACCACAGACGGCAGTTTCTGTAACTGGGCATTTAGATCATCCAGCTATACACAACAGCCCTGAATAACTGGTGGTCTTACAGTTCGTACTAATGAATACACTTTCATTCTTCTGTATCATCTCTCCCATCGTGTCTTCACCCCTTCCAAAGAGCCCTTACAAGTTTGATTCCTTGGTCACATAAGGCAATTTTCTCATCAACCCACTATTTTTCATGTCTAGTTCACATGAAGATGCTTTTCTTATGCAACAATTTTATACACCTGAAATTTGTTTTATCAGCATTTTCACAATGAGAGTCTTCCAAGTGAATACATTCAACCAAAAAATACAAACTTGTTCAGATTTCAAGGGGTATCTTTCACTGATAGATGTCTCTCTACTAAAGCAGCATACACGTGCATACTTAACACCTAATGTCTACTGCTTCTTCCAATACATTATCTCCTGTAAAAAAGTGTAGAATTCCCCAAATATCAATTCTTAATTACAGCAAGAAAAATTCAGGAGAGGTAACAATAAGCTTATGGTAAGCTTTAATGATGCTAGCTGACTATAACCTCCTTAAATCTTTCAGATATGTAATAACATACAGACCTGGTGGGGTGATGAGAGTTCTTTTATGTTCTTTACACCATCCAACAGGATGAATATGTGGGCTAGCTGCCTCACACCTGAAGGAGGGGGAGAAAAAAGGGCATTGATAATGCAGGTCTTCAGACATCCTATTATGTTTAGAAAACAAAACATACAAAAAAGCTTTAATGAATTTCAAAACAACCTATGACACCTTCAACTTAAACTGCAAACATAACCTGAAGATATGTATGTATTTTACTCAAGACTTGTTACCACCTAAAAAAGCATAAGGCTTTATTTACAATGGACAGTCGAAAAAAACAGTCAGTGGTAAATGCTGGACCTGAAAAATTCACATGTAGAGACTTGGTAAAACCATGTTGGCTGGCTGCAAGAACACAGTAATCCCATCAAAGACAGATGGGGGTTTGCAATTCCAAGACAGAAGCTTTAAACCAAAACCTTAAAAACCTTGATTAATGATCTCAGTTGCACCTGGAAGCAGATTAGAAAATCATACATAACTGCAGTGTACTGTCAGTAACAAGTAAAAATTCAAAACTGGATTCTGAGTGGTTTGAATGGAGCTATAAATACGTTATTATAACCCAGGAGCACATAAGCAAAGTATGTCTGAGAAAAACTGTCAGCAAAAAAAAATTAAACAGCATTTTAGGCCCCAAACTACCTTAAAGAATCCAGAATTAATCACTGATCCAAGACCGCAAATTGCTCTAAAAAGGCTGATCAAACTCTCTTACTCAAGGGACTAGCAACTTCCCATATTTTCTGTCAAGTGCATCAAATTTTGCATTAGTAGTGTTGCCTGTGGCATGCCACAAGAACCACAGAAGACTGAGGCAGGGTGAGCTACACTTGACATGTGGTGACATCTGTCTGAAGCAAGGAGAGATCGCTCTCACTGTGTTCACTAGTTCAGTTACATCATGCTTAGAAGAAAGTGGCAGCGAGTGCTGGCTACCAAGTTCTGTTAGCAATACCAAAAAAATCACACACACTGAAAAAACGTAATTGATATAAAAGCAGATGAGAGGAAAACTGGTTAAGCATTCAGTATTATTGAATTATTATATATAGAGCTATATAATTTTATTACATATTGTATTATTATTTAATAACATCACATCATGTACAGTATACCATATAGTATATATAAAATATACAATGTATATACTATAATTATTAAATTATTGATCGATATTATTAGAAAAGGCAAAAAGTAAGACTGAGCTACAGGAAAAGTAAAAAGCCATCAGACTCTGCTGTGAAACACACACCATATCTCTGTCTACATCGATACTTCATGACTGTTTTTGAGTTGTCTGAACAATAAACAGTGCTTTTTAAAGAAGCAGATAGTACTTATGTAGTCAGGGTGACTAAGGAACACCATGCTGACACAAAAAGCTAGCGTTACTCTGCACGGCACTGCACTACACCATCCTAACCTATTGTTTTCCTCTATTTAGCTGGAAACTCATATATAACCATGTAATTCCCATGTAGATCTGTCCCTAGGGACCCTGCTTCTCTTAGGAGCCTATCCTACCTAATTCCTTCTTTAGTTAGATAAATCCAGTACTACAGTGCACTACCTTTCTCTTCCACTATTTCCTAATCATAAAGGTGCTTCAGTAGCTGACATTAACTACTCCCAGCTATGTGCCCTCTCTCTTCTGGGGAATCCCATCAGCATTTCCATCTTTCCAGTGGCCACGAGCCCAGTGCCTTACTCGCTCTAAGGACCCGCCAAGGCCAACAAAGTGAAGCCTGAGTAAGCTGAAGTACCTAAGGCCTTTATTCCCCCTTCCCCAGGGATGGATCAAGAAATCAAGTTTGAGTAGCCAAATGGAAGTCTAGACAGAAACACCCTCTCTCCCTCCTGCTGAAGGAATGCTGCTTTCCAAACACTCCTCAAACATTCAGTGAGAAAAGACAAGCACAGAGCATCCATGCATGAGGATATGTAGTTCATATACAATAATCATTGTACAAAATACTGAAACACTCATTGTGATCCAGTTGCTATTTAATCCCTCTCTGAAGTCAATGTCTCAACCATTAGGCTGCAGAATAACATGTATCCTCTCCCCTTCCCCTCAACCCAACAGTTACTAATGCAAATACCTGAACAGTGGGTTTGCTCTCCCTGATTGTTATCATATTGATAATCTGAAGCATTTAAGAGGGTGCAATGAACTGTGCATGATAGAAAAATAAGTTGAAGGTAAATTATCAGGCACCCTAACTCCCTAAGGCTCAGATAAAAATGCTAGGTCTGCAGGTCTTGAACACAAACAGGTTTTAAGGACTGCAAAAGGAAACACAGCACAGAAAAGACTGTAGACTGAACCCTGAGCTACTACCACATTGCAGTTTTGAACCTGTGCTGCACAAAGGAAAAATGAAGGAGCACATCATATTTAGAATACATAGAATAACACTGATTTTTTTAAAAAATTCTGAAAAGTAATTTTATATGATGTCTAAAATTCAGTATGGATGTACTTCAACAACAGAAGTGCAGGTTGGGTGTCTCAGAAGCAGTCTCACAACAAGCATTCCTCTAGCCTTCTACATAAAAAGAGTCAAGCACTAATGATGAAACATACTGGCCACCTACTACAATTATATTGTGGCTTTGTGTATGAAATAGGTCTGCTAGTATTTCTTTGTAATGATGCCAAACAGATCAATTTCTAGCAGATAAAGCCTACCTTTGATAGACTTTGTAATGAGTCTGACAATAGCCAAGGATTCAATTCACCTCAAGAATACCAACCTTTTGTCCTACTACAATATATAAAGCTATACTGTATTTAGTATTTATAGTTTCACACCAGGTACTCTCTGAATCACTGAAGCTGACATTAATAAAAGGAAACAAAAGACTTTTGTGATAATTTTGCACTGTTAAAACTCAGCATCTGATTCCTAAGAACACTTTGCCCCAAACAAATCATAGGAAACAAGCGCTTCATGCTCCTTCTGTCCTCTTCCTTTCTCTTTACAATAACTATGAAGCTAACGAGCAAGGGGAGCAGTACTTCTCTCTTCTATCTCTCTCAAGTTGGAGTTTTACATGGAAGAATTTTACATGGATGAAGTATCCTTCTGCACTGGAAGGACATAGCCTCTTACTTCCTGAAATATTCTGGAGTACACAAATTGTTTCCAAAAGTCTTATGAGTCACGTTTGGGAACAAGACCCATGCTCATGAGTCACTGTGGTATTATACTCAAAACAATGAGGTAGACGTGCAAAAACACTTATCAGGACAAACCTGCTAAATGCATTTGTTCTGTTTTGCTTTTTCAAGCATAGTTTGAACATACATTTTTATAAAATTCAGAAAAGTAAATGCTACTGCACACATTTCTTGCCTTGAAGATTCAAGAAGAAGCAAGTGACCAAGGTATGTTGCAATGAAAGATGCACTCCTGGAAGATGCTCTGACATTACAGCAATGGGAACGAATATGGAACACTTAGCAATGAGTGCTACACACCACAGTACTGCAGAATAGCACTATAAAACATTCACAACGTTCCAATTCGCTTTAAAAGAAAAACCCGGTCATTACAGATGAGCCTGTAAGAAATTTCTGTAACCATGGTGGCCTCAGGAAAAAAAACATCCCTGTTCCAGCAAAACCAGGTCATATAGTCCATCTTTACCTACTGATTTCACACAGCCTTTTAGCTTCTAACAGTCCATTTAACAATAAAAAGTAGAGATCAGTAAAAGTCACACATGATTTAAAGTAGAACTATTATGCTTTAATCTGTGTTATTTCATGGATATATTATCTAGTTTGGAAGAACAACAACAGTCTACCAGACTAAGCCCAAGACTTGTCAGCTGGAATGCTAAAGGCTGCTCTGACTTTTCACAATCAATTTGCCACATCCCACAGCTTTTTATCTCCTTTGTTCCAAAACAGAAGGCAGATCACCCGGCTCACGCACTTCATGAAACACAATGATCCATGAATTGTGATGATGCTTGCTAGGCCAAAAAAAGTTAAGACCATTAGCAGGAGCTGAAGAACTTTGCACCTCCCAACCTACCTACCCCTGGACCGCAGCACAGCACCACCACCTTCCACCAAGCAGCAGAGTGGTGACACACGCACGCTCAACTAATATAGCAAGATTATAATGTCCACACAGTTCATGGCACTTGCAATCCATTCTTTCTGCTGTGTGAGAACAGGCAGGCAGAAAAAGCCATCTATTATCCATACTGGAAACTGAATCTAATCCAGGAAGCTGAGGTGGAGCCAAAAGCAGCAGAGTACACCAGCTGAACCTTTAAGGGAGCCACGCACAGGGACACGACAAGCGGCAGCTCTGCTGAGCTATGGACAGCTTAGCTACATCTTAGAAAAGACGTGAAAGTGGGAAAGAGCTACATGATGTAAAAGGCCAGGAAGAAGTTCTGCAATAAGGAAAGCCGAGGGCAGCTGACAACGTGAGCCCCTGTTGTGTGCACCACTCTGCGTGAAAGGAACACACGTGCAGTTCAACAATCCTCAACTCACGGCAGGAGAGCACGTCCCCATGGGAGACTCAGATATGGAAGAAGACGCAGTATTTTTCTATTGGTGACTTTCAGCTGTCTCATTAATTCTTCCTCAAAATTGGTTTCATATATACAGCTCATTAAATTCAGATCAAGAGAGGTGGATGATAATACTCACTGTTAAAAAAATTAATATTCAGTTCTTTTAGAAAAATATTTCCCCAAATGGATCTCCACCTGAAGATCTGGACAGAGCTTTTATTTAGTAATCGGCATTTTTTAAAAAAATAAGCTGTATTTGTTATTTTCTGTTCTGTAATAATTTTTGATTTTCCCTTTTGGGGAAACAGACCTTTTGGTATTTTGATTTTCACTTTATTAAATGTAGATACAATCTGTAATGAAAATGCAATCTATCAAAAACCACTCATGCACACGTGTTATATCCGTAAATAATAGTATGACCTCAAGAATGCTACTGATATAACTTCTTGATTGTGAGATGTCAGTCATCTAACCCAGTTTAAAAAAAGAAGGGAAAAAAAAGAAAAACACAGAAACCATCCTGCAGCCCCATCTAGTGCATAAGTGAGAATACTTCATCATTGACAAGTGTAAGGCTGGTACTATTTTAGGTCGGGACTTCCCAAAACATGGCACATGAGGTTATGTCCAGAGGTGGTATAGCAAGCCAAATTACCATATTTTCTATTTAAAGTCTGATAAGACAGCTGCATGGTGATTTGCATGAAATTTTTGACCTTTAGTGTCAGATAATGGACCATTATACATCTAAATAGTTAAAAGCATGCACTGTGACTCATGGTTCTTTAAGATTGTTTTATCTTCTTTTTGACATAATACAGCCCCTTCAAAAAGACTGTTCCTTTCAAAGAGAGAGTGGAGTAAAGTTAATTATCTCAAAAATGAAACAAGCAGAGCACAACTTTTAAGAACCTGGCTATTAGCAAAGTAGAAGGATGCTGGTAGAGAGAACTGGCCTCTTAGTCTGATACCAAAATCCAGTCTGCTCCAACACTCATATAGATCAGAAAATGGTTCAGAAAATCATAAGCTGATTTGCCTTGACAAGGTAATTTGGAAATCATTTTTTCTTTGCAAGATGGACAGGAACAGAACAGTGAGTGAGGCATAGGACATCGCATGTTCTCACAGTGGTAAGCTGATCCCAAAACCTGCCTGCAGCACCTTCTCTGCAGGGGAAGTTCAGACCAAGCCAAGGATGAGGGCAGCCAGAGCCCTCTGACCCAGCCAGTCTGGGCTGCAGCATGTCCCGCACGGCCATCGCTCCATCTCCTGTGGGCAAACGGCAACAAGCCAGCACAGCTCCACCTCCTGAGCGAGCTCTGGCTCTGTTCGGGTTTGGTCACAAAAAAATAGGAAGCTGAGGCGACATAAATCTGTGTGTAAGCAGAAGAGATGCAAGAGAATGGAGAATTGAAAGCCACCACAGACCTGTAGTTAATTCATGGTTCAGATATATCCATAGATTCCCAAATGCAATTTCCAGATTCAGACAACAGTAAGAAAATCTGGAAATGCCACTCAGATGGAATGTCTCTGGCTTTTAAAGAAGTATTGTTTGTTTCATCAAAAAAGATGGGACAGATGGAGAGGACCTGATGGATTTTGTCCTACAGGTAAAAATTCTCCTTCCTGAAGGAAAGTCTTAAATTTGTCAATTTTGTTCACTTTTCTTCCCTCTAAAAGCCACTGCTGAAGGACAATTTAGTGGGATTTGTAATACACTGAAAGTATCACCACCATGCACTACAGAGCTGTAGTGATGGCTAATTCTAGCCAGGTGTCGTGGGTGATCCAGGGTCATCACAAGAATAGGATGAGGAAGAGGCAGAACCAGAGACAATCGCCCGATCTCTATCGCTGAGTGAGCTGCGAGATATGTGAAAGGATTTCAGCCGCCATTCGGGTAAGCACACTGTTACCTGGGTGCTCCAATGTTGGGATAACAGGGCCAGTAGCTTGGAATTAGAGGGTAGGGAAGCCAAGCAGCAGGGATCCCTGTCTGGCAAAGGCGGCACTGTCAAGGCGATTGGAAAAAAAGACTCAAGCCCTCAGCCTCTGGAGGCGACTTCTGTCAGGCATGAAGGAAAGGTACCCCCTTCAAGGAAGGTATCACGTGTCACCCAGGTAAGTGGACCACCATGGAGAGAGGTATCCAGTATCTAAGGGAAATAGCTGTGCTGGAAGTGATTTATAATGATCCAAATACCAAGCAGTTACCCACAGATCCAGATGAAGTCCAATGCACACAACCCATGTGGTGGAAGTTTCTACAAAGTGCACCACCATCATATGCCAACTCACTGGCAGTAGTGCCCTGGAAAGAAGGTGAGGAACAAATGGTGGATGAACTGGCTGCCCAAATCCATCAATACAAAGAAAGTTTCTCTTCCTCCATACGGGCCTCCATCTCGGCTGTGGAGAAACTGCCAGGCATGCTAGCCGAGAAACTGTTCCAAGAGTTCCAGAGATTCAAGCACAAGTTCTGTCCCCAACCTGTACGGGCCCCTATCCCAGCTATTAGGAGTAAATGTTCCTCTGCCCAAGAGAGAGGATATGGGCATGACATAGATGGTATAGAGTAAGGGGGTGGATAATGTCCTGGTTTTGGCTGGGATAGAATTAATTTTCACAAGAAGCTGGGAGGGGACACAAGATAGCTGACTCAAATTAGCCAAGGGAATATTTGATAACTTATGACATCATGCTCAGTATATAAACTGGGGGAGCTGGCTGGGGTGAGGAGGGATCACAGCTCAGGAATGGGCTTGGCATCAGGTTCTGGGTGGTGAGCAATTGCGTTGTGCATCACTCACTTTGTATATTCTTTTATTAGTATTATTGTTCTTATTATTTTTTCTCTCCTTGTATTGTCCTATTAAACTGTCCTTATCTCAACCCACAAGTTTTTACCTTTTTCTTCTCATTCTCCTCCCCATTCCACTGTGGGGAGGAGTGACCACGTGGTGCTTAGTTGCTGGCTGAGCCCAAACCAATAACTTCAGAGTACTTATTTTCAACCATTAACATATTTTCTAATGCTCAGGAACAAGTCAGGAAGAGTATCTTCAGGCTGAAAGCCTGAAGCCTAAAAAAGCTTATGTGATGGTAATAGGTATCTGTTGCCTGAAGTCCAGTAAAATTAGTCAACTGTCTTTTAGTTACGCAAGAAAAGGAAAGAATTTTTAACCCCAATTTAAAAGTTCAATCTACTTGAACTAACTAAATTACAAAAGGTATACAGAGAAAAAAAGAAGGTACTTGTTTGAAAATAATCAACTACATAAACTAAATATATCATTTCTCCTTCATTATAGTTCTGAGATTTAAACTTCTATGAAGGTGCAGGGAAAGCGTGAGGCTCCGCTCTGGGTAATCCCAATAGAACTTTTCGGTTTTAGTTGCAGACACCAGTTGGTAGATGTGAAACTTATGCCCCTAAGATATTTTAAAGACCCTACAAACCTGGTATCTAAAATTAAAAATGTAAGTGGGATGCATTCAAGATGCATTTTCAGGCTCTCTTTTGGTCCGACATTCCACTGCTATTTTTATTTGTTGTTCTTTTCTCCCATTTTCTTTCCTTCCTCCTCTATTCACTCTTGTTCTCAATCACAGCAATGCAAAGCGGTAGGCCACGCCGCTCAGAATTTGATTTCCATGCACAGTATTTCCAGAAGCATCTTCTTGCTCCTTCCAGAAAAGTATTTTATGATTTTACCAAAAGAACAAATCTTCAGCCTGGGTTCAGTATAAATACAGCTTCAGTGATTTCTCAAACACCTATACGTTTTCCACTTCAATCTTCCCTCATCCTTTAAGAAGGTATTATTTTATATTCTACACACGAAATTCAGAAAACCCACTTCAGAATACTATGACTGCAAAAATGTAAAGCCTGGTTAAGCACTTAAAAACAGCTTTTTTCTATTCTGAGAAGACTGGTGGACAAAATTCCTGTTGACATGGGACTGTTAACAAGCCTGAAAATCAGTGCATGTCTGCCATACACAATGCAGATGTTTTAGAGAGATACCTGTGCTACCTCTGAACAAACTACAGGTTCTATTGCATTGCGTTTGCCGTAAAAACCTTGCCTAACAGCTGTTTTCATTATTATTTAACGGCATAACTGTTATTAGTGAGTATTCAAATATCAGGAAATTCAGAATACTTTTTCCCAGTCCCCAGTTTCCTGCTACTTTGTAGAGGAAATGTATATTCTATATTACTTCCTCATGGAAATAATCACTAATATTTCTGGTCTTTGACTCATATGGCCTATTATCTTGATATTCAGTTCTTGACTTCACTGAACTGTCTGTTCATTGCTGCTTCAATAATTTAGTTCTCCTACAGCTTATTTGTCATGTGGTCCATACAATTATTATTTCAAGAGATGGACTCTCAAAGTTTTGAAGTTATATAATAGTTTCACATCATTTTCATTGACGTAGTGCCTAACCAGTCATCAAATAGAGATGACGAAAACTTTCTTCATTTATTTTTACGAGCTCAGCTGTACAATTAAGTTGCCACTGCTGAACCCAAGACTCTACATGTTATGCAGTAACTTACTCTTCAAAGAATGCAAGGTATATATTATTTTGCTCTAAATGATCTACTGGAAGAAGATGCAAGTGCAAATACAAACCTGCATTGTGACAGCCAAAGCCTGAATTTCCTTCAGAATCTTTATGCTCATAGTATGTCCTGCTCCATCCACTGACTTTTCTATATAAATACACAAAGCCCTCTCACCATACAACAAGCAGAAAGGTCATCTCTAACATGGGTCAAGATAGCAGGATCCAAATTTTCAGAAGAATGTAGAACACAAAAGACCAAAACCAGGTTTTGCCACTCTCCAGGTGCCGTACAGAAGATGGATAAGGTTCAGTCTGAACAACAGAAGTGGATCAAGAACTTTACAAAAAAAATCAGCCTTTCTTTCAGTTTACAAATATATGTAAACCTAATTCCAAGTAAAATTAGTCACATTATTATGGTGTAAATTCTTCAGTAAAGATATCAACCTCAGAGATATTATGTAATTGAAATGAGAAATTAATCTACAACTCCAGATGCAGCAGCACACACAAACACTCATTTATCAAAATATCAAAATTTTTTATGTGCAACCTGACATGGGAAATCTGATTCTTCCAGTCTGCCACTGAGGCATGCTTTGGTGGCCATGATTACAAATCTAGGAAAAGTTGGTATGGTAACTGTATCGACAGTCTGGAAAGTATCACAGAAAACAGTGCTTAAAGCTAACACATTTCTGAAATGTCTCACTAGGATACAAAACAAAAACATACCAGTAGTCGTAACTCTCATCCCAGTTGTCAAAATGAACCAGAAAACGATTGTCCACCATGTCTGTTACCGTAGCAACACAAATGAAAGTCGGGTTCTTCTTGTCTACGGCTTCCAGTTTCATCCCCACTCGAAATCCCGATGGAATCACTGTCTACATAAAGATATTTCATTGAAAATAAAAAGACTATAAATCCAGAAATCTCCCTGGTGTCCACAATCAATATATTCACATCATTTCTCAGTTTCCTAATTAGCTGATCCAGCAGAGTGGCAGCAGTCTAACTAATAACACAGCTTAAATTTCATTTAATATACCATTTCTGAATGTGCCAGATCAGATGTGTAAACAGATTAGTAAAAAATCAATGGATCAGAATCGCAGAGGTGAACTGAAGTGGAGATTGTTACTGAATTTGTTGTAAACAATTTCATCTTAAATTTCAGGTCTCAAGTCTGCCACCACTGAAATGTGCTGAGTCTCTACCATACACGAGCATACTATCAGCTTTCCATACCATTAGTAACAGATGAGTACTTACTGTGTTCTGGTTTTCAAACAGTGATTTAGGAGCAGCTTGAGCCTTGCATGCCTTTAGGTATGAGGGCCAGCTGAATTCTTCCTCCTTATATCCTAAATGAGGGTCATAAAAGAATGTCAAGAAATGACAGGCATGAAACACAAGGTGCATGCAGGTGATTCGATCATAAGTGATGAAATTATTTTTTCCATTCAGTTCCGAACTGTTTCTTACAACTTCAAAACTGAAAAGACTATGCACTGTTAACTATTTATTCTAATTTTATATAAACTACACTGGGAAAATTTACTTTAAAAGTACTTATTAATTCTATCCCAATATGAACTCAATGAGTCTCTCAGGGAGCACTGGTTTGGATTATTAGAAATTTTAGCAGGACACACTTTAGAGGAGCTTCTAGAGTTCAAAAAAAAAGTTGATGAAGCTTTTCTATTTTTATTTGAGCATCTGGTATTACAAAGAGGAATCATGTTCTTTATTTAGGCCTAGCTGAGCTTCCTTACCAAAATGTCAAGCTTTCTTAACACTAACTGAGCAAAATACTCTCCTTTCTTGAGCTGCACATTATTAGTTTCTTATAGTTCTCTAGGACTGACATTTGAACCATTCCTAATCTTCATCTGGGAGGACGAATAGTCATATAAATAAAGCACTAGGCAAAAACTCAGGAGATTTCAGCTCAGTTTCACTTTTACCTTCAAAACAAGCTGGGGAGCATTTCTTACAAAACCATTGCTCTATCCCTCAACACTGACCTTGCAGTCCTGGCCATCAAGGGAACCGAAGGTCCTCAAGGGGCAGAATCTAGGGGGAGCCTAGAAACTAAAATCCATAATTCTAACAGGTATCAAAAATCAGTCTCTGATAAGATACCAGTTTTATATGATAATCTCCCTCCCTTCAAACAAATCTTTCCAAGCAGCAGAGATTACAAGTAACCTCTCCGTCTCTCCCCAAGAAAACCACACCTTACCACCTCTCTGCCTCGCAGGTACCAACTAACTTCCCTTTGGTGGCCTGACCGACACACACAGAGCCAACAAGCTCAGGGCAGGCAGTCTCCAGCTGCAGGTGAAATGTGTCACCTCTTGACTATTTGAAGTGTTACTTAAGTATGCCACAGAAAACAGCTTTGTTTAACTTTCTGAGAATCTCCTATTTCCCAAGGAACCACAAGTAAAGAATCCTTTAACTTCACCTTCTCTACATCTGCCTTTCTCAGTTTTCATTTTAAACAACGGCTAACATAAATTAACCTCCCAGTCCAAACAATGATACTTTTCCTTATACTCCAATTGTCTCATCTTGATACACTATAGCTGTAGACCAGTTGAAATAATTTTTAAAGCAATGTGGTGTTGAGGCTTTAACTTTCCCTTTGTAACTCTATAGGATATTCAAACCTAGCTCAAAGCTCACAGTCAACAATACAAAACTCCTACCTACTGCATGTGTAGTGAGATCAGGTACTAGTACTGGGACAAACTCCATGGAAAAAAAAAAATGGTTTCAGTAGATTGTAAGCAGTTTCTGGACAGTGTGGGTCTTCCAGTCACCAAATGAGAAAGGAAGATCTCTACCTCTTACCTCACCTCTCAAAAAAACACCAAAGGTGAATTTGATTTAGTCACTGTAGATACAGAACAATATTCACTAAAACTATCGGCTTTATTAATTTCCAGTCCACTTAAAAACACATGATGTGAAAGCCACCTGGAAATATGTATTACATTAAGTAGAATAGAATAGACTATTTCAGTTGGAAGGGACCTACAATGATCATCTAATCCAACTGCCTGACCAATTCAGGGCTGACCAAATTAAAGCATGCTGTTAAGGGCACTGTCCAAACTCCTCTTAAGCACTGACAGGCTTGGGGCATCGACCACTCCTCTAGGAAGCCTGTTCCAGTGTTTGACCACTCCAGCAGTTACATCCACAGTTTTTTAGTTTTCCATAATGCATCCTTTTGACTGTACATTCATTATTTTGCAGCCTTTCGAAACCATATTATCTTACCCTCACTCTGTATGTCAAAACACCACATTAATTTATTTCTCACTCTCCTGTCTTCAGGGCTTGCTCTCTTCATTCCCACATACTCCCTTCCTACCGAAAGGGAGCCCATTTATCCCTTTTTTTTTTTTTTTATGGTACAGTGTAGATCTACTCCATCTGCCAAAATAAAGGACTTACATAATCTGAAACAGAATAATTAAGCAAGAAAACTACACATATTTCAACACGTGTATACCATTTACATAAGCTATGTACAAATCATGCTTTCAGGCTCATAATCTTACCCTTTTTTCTCCCTCCTTATCTGTTCATTCCTCTTTTGTCTCTACTTCAAGCTTACTCTTTGTGACAAGAACACCATCTTTATTAGTCTGTGTCAACACATATACAATAACGGTGATCAATATCTAGTAATGAAAATATCCTAAGATGTTCCACTAATAGATCCTCCACTGCCTGTGAGGCCTCAGTTTAAGCATACGTGTCACCAGTATGCTGCCATTTTACTTGCAATAAGCATTCATTTAGGGTCTAGGTTTGTTGCTTAACTTTATTTCCTAATGCCTTATGAACTATTCTTATGGTTCACTTTGTTTTCTTGTTTTCTCTGAATTTCCACTGAACAAAAAAGGTAGGATTTCAATCTCAAGATTTTAGCAAGACTTCAAACAGAGTTTAATTTGCTGTGTTCAAATACTCTGACTAAATGAACAAAAAAGGTTTCTGCCAAAAATATATAATTACAGCATTACATAGATAATCTTGATTTTAGAGATATGGAAAATGCACACATTTCAAACTAAACAATACCTTTAGGTGGATGAAGCCTGTGACCTGTTTTCTCACACCATCCAACAGGATGAATGTCTGAAGAATCAGCATTCACCCAGAAATCGTAACAATCTGGGTATCCATCAAAATGGAGTCGTATTCTGTAGCCACAAACCTAAAAGCAAGAACGTACAACATACAACACTATGTTTTAAGATGTTTGCCCTACACATAACAGCTTCTGTTCAGTATTATGTATAGTAACAGCGTGTTTTCAGTCAGCCTTTCACTTCTGCTTAAGGCAATACTAGATGAATAAATTCATTTGATAAAAAGGAAAGAATAAAAAAGCAAAGCTGTTCTCTGAGTGCCTCCTCTTCTGGTGAAACAAATTAACTAGAAGCTGGATATCGCTATTAGGGTTCAAAAACTCGAAAACTGTTCAACCCAACATCAGAATAAAACAGAAACCCTACAAAAGAGCATGAATACATCTGATACAGTTATGGACAAAGTGCAGATAATTATGCTTTCAAGCTATCCCGATTAATCAATATGCAAGAGAGCACTCAACAATAACTATGTTCAACAGGCTCTCCGGCGAGATATTGAGAACTGTTATTAAAGATGAGAAGTCAGTGGAGGTATCCCCCAGAATGTCATTATTCCATGAAGTAGTAAGTTAACCACCGAGAGGAAGAGAAAAACAGGACACAGTCCCTCTGTACAAAAGCTCTCCACATTTTCCTGAGAATCAAATGCCGTAACTTTCCTGCAGTCATCAGTGCAAATCTCTTGACATCAAGGTCACCCTATTTTATATTTAATTTATACTCTGACATAACTTTCAGTCCGTCGTCTCAGAATTCTGTGGAATTCAGGTCATCCTGCAGGAAAACATGACCCATCACTTAGTGCTGAGCACGAGGTACACAGGAAATACTCAACTACTGACACACCATCCGCAAGCAAATGGAAGAGATATCCACAGAAATGGGATATGACTATGGGCCATGAAGAGATCCAGAAATGGGAACACAAAAGCCTAAACGCAAAATTACAGCTGCCTAGAACACCAGCAATACAGAGAAGAGTACCTACCTATTCCTGTTTCCCCATTTTAATTCACAAAACAAAACCAAAAAAGGATCCTCTGTAAAACTGTGTAAAAACTAGTATTTGAAACTAATGTTTGAAACTATGTTTGAAAGATACAAAATGTAACTGAGAAATGGATTCTCACTTATACTATTAAAAGCAAAGAAGCTACTCATCAGAAAAGTTATTTCATAAACTGCAGCAAAAAGACAAACCGAGATTATACTGTATACTAACTTGCAGAAGTTGCCAATATAGGCAATTTCTGAGACCACCAGCCTGAAAAAATTGTAGCACAAGTGCAACATAAAAAACTGTTAGGTATTTGTGCCAGTGAATGGAGCAACTGTAAATACTATCAAACTTCTGTAAAACTGCTATATATCATTTGTCATACTTATGTTTTTTCTACTTATTTTCTCTATTAAATACAAATGACTGGATTACAGAAAAAACATCATAAAACTAGTGCAATACTGTTTTCTCCAGCTGCATATGTTAAATACATGTAAACAGTCACCGCTGCATGGCAATTTAATTTAAAAGCCATTTTCCTACACACAATTTCTGTCTGCTTGTTAGGGAAGAGCGAGCACTTTTGGCTGCTGCTGTTTCAGTTCAGACTCTCCTGTAATCCCACACCATGGCCGCTCGCAGCCTCTACTTACCTCGGCCACTGTGAGAACACAGTATATCGACTGGTGCTCGGGATCCACACCCTCCAGCTTCATCCCTACTTTGAATCCATTTTTGTTGTATGGGAAAGACTGATACTACAATGGAAAAGAACAGTTTCAGTACTTCTGAAAGTATACCACAGAAATCAAAATATCTTTATAAGGAAAGAACAATGACTATTTATTATTCATGATTCTGAAAGAACTAATACATCACTTTAAGTTTCACATTTTTAAAAACTTACAATGGAAAAGAGAAATTAATGATTGTTCAAAAACCACACTGACACTAGAATGACTTAAAACTTGGGAAGTATGTAAAAAAATTCTAAAGAATTAGCAAAAAGGTTAATCAAGGTAAAAAAGATTACATGATTTGCCCTCATCTTTTTTCACTAATTGTCAATCAAACATTTTAACAATATAATTTCTTTTTGAGCCTATACAGTGACACTTAGACACCTTCCTGGTGGTCATAATTCCTACAATAATCACAACAATGATGCTCTCTCTTGCCTTTTCATTTCCACATCTCAGGCCATCAAAGATGAACTGTAAGGCAGAAATAAGAAACACTGTATACAGGCATGGCCTCTTTGATGTAATTTTCTCCTCTCCATGTTGAGACCAGATTACCTAGCTTTTCACAAATATTTTTGCATCACAGGAACATGATTACCATTTTATCACATTACAACTAACCCAGAAGATCTTCCAAAAAACAGAAAGTGAAAACAAGGCTAAGCAGAATGGATGTTTTCAATCAGAAGGCATCAGTGTCCCATGTATCATGCTCTCTGCCCTCTGTTGATGAAGGAAGGAAGCTAGCTGATATTGAGGTTAAATTGGAGGGAACATCAGAAAAATAACTGACTAAAACTGAAGAGGATTTTCCACAGGTTAACAAATTCACAGTTTTTTATGTCCCAAATGGTTACAGACAAAATGCAAGGAAGTCATCTTATATGGTCCCCCTTCTGTTTCTGTCTAAGAGCCACACACGCTCCCAAGCCATCTGCAGGACCTCTGCAGTCAGCGGAAAGAGAAGGGCACCAGGGGGTTACTCAGAGAGGCCCCACCTACTCGGAAGGAAGGGAATCCTTTCTTTGGTGGCTTTGGCTACAACTGATATAACTGAATAATAAACCCAGGAGAAAAAATTGCAGGAATATGAAGTCAAGAGGAAGGGAAATGGAGAACCAGACCTGTTTAAATAATCCTGAAGTGGCCAGTGAATAGACGTCTAACCACAGGTCTAAGTCCCTATAGAAAAAGCTTAGAACATTTTGTAGACCTCAGTTAAGGGATCAGAGTATCTGACTGCAGTATGTGCATCTGAAAAGTTATTTCATCCTAACATCACCACATAACATTTTTATTATCAAAGAAACTTTAATGAAGTTACATGATATGTAATTCTAGATACTTTTTCTTAAGAGATATGTAAAAGCAGAGCATTTTTTTTTTTAAATTCATAAACTGAAATTTTTAAAGTTCATCTTGGCGAACAGACTTGCAGTTAATGCCATCTATATCATAAATACCTTTCAGATAAAAACCTCAGTGGAAAACTGAAATGCTAGAAATATTGACACACTGAGGAACATTGACCAAAAATGTAACAGATTTTGCACAAGCAAGCACTAATAAAGTTACAAATAAACAATTAAAAAGTCACAGATCTGTTTATTCTTTAATTATTATAACAAACATTACTGTACAAACAATACCCTAAAAACTAAGCAATTATCACACAGGTATTTCCTGAAATTTAAGAAATGAATTATTCACTGTTCTTCCCATTGTCATGTCTAAAACTTCTAAGGCAAGGCAGACTTTACTTTGGTTTCTGTTACAGTAAAAGAACAGGCAACTTTTAGAAGACTAATAATTTTAATACTATTTAACAGATTTCAATTTTCTGCATTATTCTCAATACATCACCCAAAGTAAACCTATGACAAACTTAGTAATCACACCTTATCTTTAAAACAAACATTTAAAGATACTTTGTTAAGGAGAGATACAAGAACAAAATAACAGTAAATGTAAAAGTGAGCAGCAAATGAGCAGAGGGCAGTCTGAGGATTAGAAATGTTTATGTACGATCCAAGAGCATAGACAAAACCCAAAAGAGTACCTCAGGGGACTTGGAAATTGAAAAAAAAAAAAACCAAACCAAAACAAAACAAAACAACAAAAAAAAACACAAAAAAAAACAAACAAACAAACAAAAAAAAAATTCAAGGGTCAATCATTTTGCTTACTGGAGCAGTAACAGCTTGTCAGACATAACCTAGAAATGCCTCTAAGACTTAAGTACCAGGAAGTCTCCATTATCCTGACCATTCCTAACTAAGGGTATGAAAAAACATCATGAAAAGTACTCCTCCTGAACTGGAAAACTCAGAGAAAAAAAAAAGAGTAATTCTCACTATCCAAACAGAAATCAAGGATTCAAAATCAGTGGTGATGTTTGGGGTTTTTTTTTAACCTTATTTTTCCTGTGGCTTGCTTGTCCATCTGTAAAATGGAGAAATATTATCCCGCCACTCCTGAGTGTTATTAAGAATTTTGTCTCCCCTACAGGATTTAAATATGGCACACTAAATAAAACCTTAGAATTACCAAGAGGTTAAAGACTTTAAAAGAAAATACTAAGTGAGATGCACTCAATGAGAAAAGTACACTGTGGACAAAACCAAAGAAAACAGTATGTCATCACATAACTCCAGACTTTACCAACGTGTGCAGTGTCCAGAAAGGCTGGTACATGCATGTGTGCCTCAAGAGCATTTCATGGAACTTCAGACAGGCAGAGCAATGCTTTGTAAATCTACCCTCCAGACAGAGACATTACTTACCCAGAATTTTTTTATTGTTACTTTTTCAACCAGCATACATTATAGGGGGATACAACTAAGGATGGTCAGGTAACTGTTGCTCTTGCACTTACAAATCTATGGATTCTGTACATTGCAATCCTAGTTCTTTGCTTTGTAACTCAGTAATGTCTAAAGCACCAACTAAAGGTCAACCTCACACACACATGAGATGAAAAGCTAATCCCTGCACAAAAGATTTAATAGTTGAAGCATAAAGCAAACAGAAAGAAATTGATGCAAAAAACAGACTACAAGTAAGAACAGAATTATGAAAAAATAATACCAGATATACATAGCAGAAGCACAGCAGCTGAGACATATTCGTATGTTTTGTCAGGTTTTCAAGAGAAGAGAACAGCATGGAAACTCTGTGGATTTGCATACAGAGCTCTCTTCCAAGCAAGAGAGACAGCACTAGGGAAAGCACTGAAATGACAAATGACAAAGACTACCATAGCAGGCAAAGGACAAGCAAGAGATGATGACGTGACATCCAATCAGATGACAGGCAAAATGGGAACAAGTCAAACTAGTATCTGATGTAGTAATAAAATATGTCAGCTGGAGCTGCAAAAAGGCAGGTAATATAATCAGATCAACAAGCCATAAGATGACCTTTGTACCACCTTTCTAAACATATCTGAAGAGTGATACAGCATGAAAAAATGAGGGTATGTATCAGATTTTTAGCTTCAGAGATTAGAAAGAAAGGCTAGAACTTGCAGGTTTTGGAAAAGCGTCTGCTTTCTGTAGTCTCAGTTGACAGCATTCATCTACAACTACAGAATTCTCTGAAAAAGCAGAGAAAGATAGCTAATTTCACATGTTCCAACTATCTTGACAATTGTTGATGGATAGCATTATTTTACTCCTGTAGGTTTTCCCCCAGAGAAGTGTAAAATCCTCATTTTTTTTAATTGATTTCCTACAGATTTCATGATCTTAGGTGGTTGACTGATTTAAACTTCCAAAGGCCATACCTCTTTAAAAAGCTTAGTAGGTACTGCAATGGCCTTTTCTTCCTCCAGATAGGATGCCCAACACCATGCTTGTCTTCCTTTGGAGGGTACAGCTGAAAAGAAGCACAGAATAGCAAAATAATGCTGTAACTGTTAACTTCTCAAGGAAAAAAAAGACAAAAGAACATTCTGAAGTTTATAATATACCTATCTCAAATCTATATGTTATTAAACGCATTCACGGCATTTCTCAAGACTTATTTCAGGAAAAGAAGTAGCTCAGTAGGTTTAATGGCTCCAGGAACATAAAGGTTCCTGGATTGTGTAGAAAGGTTTCCAGCAGTTCAAATCTTGATTAGTAACAAGAAAAAGCTCTTTCAGGTGACAAGAACAACTTATGAAGTCTTTCTCCCTGTCCCTTTTCACTTACTGCTCATAAGAAGCATTAAGATACATAATTTGCAAATATGTTAAAAGATCGGTTCAAATCACAAAGTATTTCAATTTTTTTTTTTTTTTTCATGAGAATTTCTTTTCCTGGAAATCATTTCAACTGGATAGCACTCATGACATGTTTTTTTAGTCACAGTTGAAATACTCTGTTCTTTAACAGTATTCAGAATGTTTCTAACCTACTCCATCACTATGTATTTTGATGTTTTTGGGTGGAGAAACAGTGAATTAACATTTCTCCAAGCCAGCAAAACTCACTCGTGCCTTTTTGCCCCATCATGTCATTAGCATATGACAGAAACCTCCACTTTCAGGTTTGCTCATGAACACTTGTATATATTTGCACCATAATTGTAATACTGGCTTACAGTCCATCTTAATATTGGCTACAGTCACATCAGTGAGTAACAGTTTTTAGGCCTTGAAAATAAGGCACTAACCGCACTAGCAAAAGCCAGGAACTTCAAAAACAGATGGCTTGTGAGGCTGGCCATGTATGTACCTACTTTGATACACCTCCACTCTGCTCTACTGACCTTCACCTACAATGCCTCCTCTGCACATGCAGCTTAGCATTTCAGACCATAAGCTCATGCTGCCAGGAGGATTCTTCACAGTCCACAATATGATTCTGGCCTGACCCTCCTGACTGTGGGCTGCTCATAAGAGAAATAAGTCCCTCAAGTAACAGTCTGGCTAAGCATTTTTATGATTAAAACATGAACCATAACAATAGCAATGACAAAGTCTCCCAAAGAAAGCTGATAATGTAACCAAAAGATAAATTTCAGAATTACAGCAATTGCTCAAGACTATTAAAGCACATTCATTTTATTTGTGATTTATCCAGTTTTTATCTATTCCATTTAAGAGATGTGTTGCTCAGCACAACAATACACAGTTATGTGCTTGGTTCTGAATATAAATTGGTCTTTTGTACCAAATCTCTTGTGCTGAACTGACATTTTCCCAAATAAAAATAAAAAAAAAAAAATAAAAAACAACAGAAGAAACCTGTACAGATCATTCTGTCAGTGGACCGCATTTCCATAGAGCACTGGCTTTGTGCTTGTATCTCACACACTTCTTATCTCCTCTGCTTTGGAAACAACTGTAGAAATTATATTTATATTTCAGGAGTAATTCTACTTTGGGACGGGGAGCTTCCATAACATTTATGTGTTGCATCTTCCATCAGTATTTCATCTGTCTAGTGTGCAGCAGAGCTACCTGGAGCTTTGTGCTGATTAGCGGCCTGGCAACTTCTGGAAATGGCTCCCAGTCTACCATAAGAAATGCTTTGGAGAGCAAGATTTAGGTTTGTGCTTGGTGTACCACTGAGGTGTAATAGCTGCTGATTCTCCGATTCTTTCTGAAAGTATCTATCATACAAATAGCTTGAAAAAACAGCACTCATTTAAAATATGTTTTATTATGCCGCCTGATGCAGCATATGTCCCTTTGGACTGATTATAGCAATTATTCCTAAACAGTTCCATAAATGTGTCTATTTCCAGCACATACCATAGATACAAAATTTATCCCCAAGGAAACAAAAGTAAACTTTCACTTCTGCTTCATACATGTCTTTCAACATCTGGGAACTCAATGGGCCTGATTCCCTTTTAATACCAGCACTCTTTAGAGGGATGAAAAAACCCCCTAAAATGTGCATCAATTACCTTTACACTTGCTATACCCTTCTTCACGTTGCCTGAGGTATATAAACTGGCTCTTTGTAAAAGGTAATCAGTCTCCAAGTGATGGGTTTTTTTCCCAGTTTTCACTTGGTTCTCTCAGTTCTTCAATCCTTAAAACTGAATTGCTATAAATAGTACCTGCACCCTCTTTTTACAGAATTGAAAAAAAAAGTATTAAATAGAGAATACAAATTCAGTGAAAAAATGCTGGCAATTCACAATAAGAGATGGGTATTACCTAAAGAATTGATAGTCGAGATTTTTGTTTCATAATCTAACTTACGTTGTTTCAAAACTGTTATTTCCCCTTTTCTTTTTCTCCTGGCTCTTTGTGAGACTCTCAAGACCCTTCCTTCAGGTTTGTCCTCCTAAATTAAAAAAAAAAAAAAAGAGTACAGTAACCTCATTAGTTCAGAAGTCTAGTACAGTAAAACAAACATTATGGGAAGGTACTGGGATAAGTTTATTCTAAAATGAAGAACAAGTCCAAAAGGAAAAAAACAAAAGGTGCCCCAAAGCACATTACATTGCAACACAAACCAAAACCAAATCTTTAGCTATGATTTTCTAAGGCAAATTACACTGAGAAAATCAAAAGTATTCTCTTCTTAACTGTAATGTAGCTTTCTTTGTAAATAAATTATTGGTCTGTAGTCATTTATTCATGTGCAGAGTAACAAAGTAACAGGTGTTGGGAAATACGTGCTCCTGTTTTTCTACGCTGAAGACACTGCAAGTCTAGGTTAGTATCATTTTTTGTTAAAATTCTTTTTGTTCTGTTCTTAAAAATGGAGGGAAAAGAGGTAAGAAATAGCTCTTATGAGTTCATTGTCAATAATTACAGTTTACTGATGAGTCGTAATTAAATTGGTAAGTGAACTAACTACTTATTATAGCTCTGACAGAGTGATGTCAGTAACTTCATCAGTCTACAAAGAGAAGTGATGGCATCATTCACAACAATATAAGGCAAAACTCCCACTGAAATACTTGCAGCAATGTGTTTATGACGCATACTAACAGTTTCATCGGGGTTCTCTTTCTTCTCCCCATTATCCCTGGACTCTTCTTTGAGAGGTAACTTTGCTTTTCTTTTGCGAATGCCTTTGGAATCATCTTCCCCATTGCATTCCATACTGGGCTTTTCCTCCTTTGGTTCTCTATTACAACAGTAACACAATGACACAAAGCCAATATTATTTCATTTCTCGCATTGATAAAACAAGTAAAAAGTGAGCAAATCTGAAGGTCAAGTGTTTGTAGATTCCAGGGTATTATATCAAATACATTCTTAGAAATACTACTGAAAATTACATCTGTCAAAAGAATCAGTCTGATAGACACACAATAGCAACTGCAAAAGGAAAGCTGTCAGCTTAGACTGAACAACTTCTGCATGTTTTAAACAGTGTGTCTTTTCCCATGTACCATCAAGTCTCACAGAGAAGCAAACTGTGAAATGTTTAGGACTGCAGGGCAGTTTACAGACAGGAAAACAAAGGTAATTGTTAAGACTGACAAATCCAATTGAAGAAAGCTGGTATGTGACTGCACAAATTGCTAAACAAGTAATCAAAACAGAAACCTTTGAAGCAATTAACTAAAAATGAAGGAAAATGCACAAAATCATAGATGATAAAAACTGACATAATGCAGTAGTATGCAATACAGAATGGACATACTAACACAAACCTTCCTTCATGATGAAATGAACTGTGCTAGCTGAAAGAAACTGCGAAACTACAGTATGCTCATGTTTTCACTCACTGTCATCTATAACACAGCTCTTGCACTTAATTATAATCAACTTACCACACCAACCATCTCATTACTGATTATCTTAATTCCAATGATTATGAAACAGGGTGGGAGTCTGCCACTGATTCATGCATCCCATAGACTATTTTACCACTTGCATCTGGCAGCAGAACACAGCACACTGAGCAAAAAAGACTGCCTTCAACATCAGTGTTAGACAAAACCAAACATTGTTCATGCATTTATATTAAAACAGTGAATGAACATTATAACCCAATGGAGACTCAACAAGAGATGGTTGCTTAATATCTCCATTTGCCCCACCATTAACATTTTATCCCACCACTTTTATCTCATGCTGCATTTATGCCAAATTCCTTGATTCTATGCTTTATAGTAGCACCTACTTGTTTTTTACTTGTTGGGCACATTTCTGGCTGCAAAATTTCCCTTCAGGAACAAATTCTTCTATGGCACCATAGCGGTAACAGTTTTCACAGAAAACAAGTCCATCCATTTTTGCAGTTTCCTTCAACCTTGTGGGAATCCCTGTCTTTTCTGAAAAGGCTGCACAATGAAAAAAGTAACTTCACTTAGGTAGAGGTGATACATTTCCAATCATGCTCAGCAGGCCTTGCCAAGCAAACAGAAAACCAGAAGTCACATCACTCTTGTTAGAATGAAGAACTGGTAGTTAGTGTCGGGACGGGGTCCTTATTCCTGACAAGCAAGTTGGTTTTTCATATTGCAACATGAGTGAGAGGAATCCACTGATTTCGTGCTTCTGTCATCAGTGGCACATCAACACTGCTTGATGTGGCTGCTCGTGGAAGGAGTGAATTTTGTGACATGCAGCACTCTGGCTGCCCACAGTCATCATTGCACAGAGTCCATCACCTCATCTCCTGCTGACATGCCTCCTTTTTCACCTATATATATAGGGTCATTTGGGAAAAAGGTTTTTGGGGGAGTTTTCCTTCAATAGGTGAATGTGTTTCTGGAAAATCACTGACTACTGTCCTGGGTTGAGTGAGTGGTGGGTTTTTTTGGTAGCAGGAGAGGGGGCTAGAGGGGTGGCCCCCTGTGAGAAGCTTCTCAAAGCTCCCCCAGCTCCAAGTCAGCTCCACTTCTGCTTGAAAACTGAGCCAATCAGCTGCACCTCTGCAATAATGTATTTAAGAAGGGACATGGTGATGAGCAGTGTGACTTGTGAGGAGGAGTTGTGGCAGCTGCATGAACATCAAGGTCAGTGGAGGAACGGAGGAAGAAAGGAGGGGGGAGGTGTGCCGGAGCAGAGACCCTCCTGTATCCTGTGGGGAGACGGCAGGACGGCCCCCCCCACCTGCCACCCATGAAGATCTACAGGGGAGCAGGCACTGATTTATGGCCTGTTTATTTCGCATGGATGATCAAGGTGCTGTGCCCGAAGAAGGCCGGGGTCTTGTGGGAAAAGGTAGCCCCGCTGCTGTAATTCAGTGCCGGGAGGATTGCAGCATGTGGGGGTGTCCCACGCCGGAGCAGCTCGGGAAGGGCTGCAGACGTGGGAGGGACTCCAGTTGGAGAAAGTTGGTGTCCCACGATGGAGCAGTGTGGGGAACGCTGCGGCCCATGGGAGAACTCATGTCAGAGGAAATTTGTGGAGGACTGTCTCCTGTGAGAGGGAGACCACGATGGAGCAGGAGGAACAAGTTTTGGACACTCCCCTCACCGAACATGAAGTGGCAGCGCTGACTGCACCCCCCATTCCCTGCCCCTGCGCCACTGGGGGAGGAGGTAGAGATATCGGGAGCAGAGCTGAGCCCGGGAAGAAGGGAAGGGTGGGAGGAAGGTGTTCTCAAGATGTGGCAATGCTTCTCACTGTCCTACTCTGTTATGTGTTGTTAGCGTCTGTAATAAATGTATGTTTTTTCTTCCGCCTGCCTTTTGCTCGTGACCATAAAGGGTGACTTTTTTCCCCATCCCAGTCCTATCTCGAACCCTAAGCCTGGCTCTCTGCCCCTTCTTATTGCCAGAGGAGAAGGGAGAGAGAATGGCTGTGTGGTGGTTGGCTGCCGACCAGGCTCAAACCACAACTACATTCTACAGTCTCTCACAGCAGTAGCTATTGCTCAACCTGAGGTCTAGCAGAAGTAAAAAATCACTGATTTGTAACAACAAAATTTTCAAATACTAAGTTGTTCACGCATCCTAAGCTACAGTTACCCCACGAGAGGTGTGTAGCCTAGAAGAGGATGCCTTTTCTTTCACCCACAGGCAAGTATGAAGCACTGTCAAATCCTCCAGCTTCTAGAGCAGACCGTTGACTTTGCACCCCCCCAAAAGGTAAATTTCAAGTCACAAACTACTTATTTTGCTTGAGCGCTGTACTGTCTTTGAAAGCAAAGTCAAATGAACTCTTGTGTGCAGACTATCTCCACTAGAGTAATATCTAATTCATGTGCTATATTTACACTCCAGCATCATTAGTGGCTCAGAACAACTATTTCCTCTCACAATGGAAAATTTTAGCAGTATTATTTTGGAGGAGCATTAAATTAATCAAGGATAGTGTAAGGTAGTAGTGGGATGCTTACTTGATATGTTTATGTGTCTGTCCATAAAGACACTTTTATTCAGTAGCAACATTATTTTTTTTCAGGTTTATCAGACTGTAGGGGGTAAAGTTGTATGCTTTACTGTAGGTAACTGTGACCTCTAACTGTAAGAAGACATTGTGCTACTATGCTATCAGACTGTCACCACTCTCATCACAAATTTGAATCTTGAATAACTATCATTGCCTTGGAGACAGACCTACAGAACACAGTAGCTGTGGTCTGAAGCTTTGGACCTCACAACTAAGGCCCAAGCTACTTTCCCACTGGTGTAAATGTTTCACCTTTTCACAAAAGTCACATGACAATTAAGACTTAATGGTGGGGGAATAGCAAAGGAAAACTTTCACTGACTGCTTATCATGTTTATACTGATGATTTTTAACTCAAAATTTTGAAGTCTGCTTTTCAAAGGACTTACAGAATGCACCACTTTAAAGAAAATTGATAAAATGTACTATCAACAGGGAAAAAACCCTATGTAGTTGTAAGTAATCACAAAACCAGTTGTGATATTCTCTTCCATGCTACTCCATCATTGCTGGAGTCAGTGTATCAAGATTTCAATCAAGTATATCAAGAGAAGTCGTGGCAGTCCAGGGAAGTTCCTGCTGAGTGCAAAAGGGGAAACATAACCCCCATTTTTAAAAGGAAAATATAGAGGACCTGGGGATTTACAGGCCAGTCACCCTCACCTCTGTGCCCAGCAAGATCGTGGAGCAGATCCTCCTGGAAAATATGCTAGGGCACACGGAAAATAAGTAGGTGATTGGTGATAGCCAGCAGGGCCACTAAGGGCAAATCATGCCTGACAAATTTGGTGGCCTTCTACAATGGGGTTACAACATTGATGGATAAGGGAAAAGCAAGTGACATCATCTACCGGGACTTGCGCAAAGCATCTGATGCTGTCTCACACAACATCCTTATCTCTAAATTGGAGAGACATGGATTTGATGGACGGACCACTAGGTTGCTAAAGAATTGGCTTGGTGGTGGCACTCAGAGAGTGGCAGTCAACAGCTCAACGTTTACGTGGAGGGGGCTGACAAGTGGCATTCCTCAGGGGTTGGTGTTGGGACTGGTACTGTTCAACAACTTTGTTGGTGACATGGACAGTGGGACTGAGCGCACCTTCAGCAAGTTTTCTGACAACACCAAGCTGTGTGGTGTGGTCAACATGCTGAAGGGCAGGGATGCCATCCAGAGGGACCTTGGCAGGTTTGAGGGGTGGGCCCACATGAACCTCATGAAGTTCAGCAAGGCCAGAGGCAAGGTCCTGCACAAGGGCCAGGGCAATCCCAAACACAGACACAGGCTGGATGATGAGTGGATTGACAGCAGCCCTGCAGAAAAGGGCTCGAGGGTATTAGTGGATGGAAAACTGGCCATGACCCAGCAATGTGCACTCGCAGCCCAGAAAGCCAACCGTGCCCTAGGCTGCATCAAGTGTGGCCAGCAGGCTGAGGGAGGGGAATCTCCCCCCTCTACTGTGCTCTCATGAGACCTCATCTGGAGTCCTGTGTCTGGCTCTGGGGCCCCCAGCATAAGAAACCTGATCAAGTGGGTCCAGAGGAGGCCATGAAGATGATAAGGGGCTGGAGCACTTCCACAGATTATTATGAGGACAGGCTGAGGGAGTTGGCATTGTTCAGTCTGGAGAAGGCTGCGGGGAGACCTTATAGCAGTTTTCCAGTACTTAAAGGGAACCTACAGGAAAGATGGGGAGGGACTCTTTATTAGGGAGTGCAGAGATAGGACGAGGGGTAATGGTTTTAAACTGAAAGAGGGTAGATTTAGATTAGACATATAAGGAATAAATTCTTTCCTGTGAAGGTGGTGAGGCACTGGCACAGGTTGCCTGGTGAAGCTGTGGCTGACCCCTCCCTGGAAGTGTTCAAGGTCAGGTTGGACGGGGCTTTGAGCGACCTGGTCTAGTGGAAGGTGTCCCTGTCCATGGCAGGGGGGTTGGAACTAGATGATCTTTAAGGCCCCTTCCAATCCAAACCATTCTATGACTCTATGACTTTCAGAATTTATGATCAAGTAAACAAACTTTCCTTGAACAAAAAAGGTGTCTCCTTACATCAGTATTTTAAATCCAGGAAAGACCTTACTTAGTAGACAGATACTACAACTATTAGAATTTTATAATTCAAGATAAAATTAAATGGTTACTATATACTAATTTTAATACTGTACAAAAACACAGTCAGCAGGAGCAAGGCAACAGTGTAGCCATACATTGGTATCGGTGGCAGCAGCTGAGCAGCAGCCAGTATCATGTGAAGGCAGTTTACAGTGCACAATATTTCAGTCACAAATGAACTGTAGGCAGTTAGTAAAGTCTGTGGGCAGTATGGAGAACCAGATCAACAAAAAAAAAATCTAAAAAATTCTCAATAATTGAAAGTAAGAAATTCACCATTTTGCAAACTAAATAGAGAGAAAATACTGATTCTAAACTTAGAAAAAAATACTGTTAGAAAAAATTGTGGCTGTAATTGAACTTCAGATGTTTAACAGTGGAATTACTTCCTTTTAACTTAAAAGGCATTTATTTTCATATTTACTCACACCCCAAGAAACAAGTAATATCATCAAAGATACTCTGTGCATTAAGGCAAGTAAGTTGTTGGGGTTTTTTTGAGGGGGGAGCAATCTTTAAGAAAAACTGATATATTAGACAAAATACCACAGAAATGTTTACCACCTCTGAACTGACCTTCTTGAGCAGTTGGAACCATCCAGGTTGTGGTAGCAGTTGCCTTTTTAACACTCTCCATCTCAGTTTCATCTGTAATCACTTCCAGGGCCCCAAATTCATTCACTCTAAACTGTAAGACAAAATAAATGGCATAGACTATAGTAAAAATTTACTAATACTCTCTTATGGAGTCTTCTTCTGTTGACCAAGACAGTTTTTACATGGTGTCCTCATCGTATTATCTAATTTCTATGTGTTTCTGCTTATCCCCAAGAAAGTGGAAACAAGTGTTTCTTGTTTCTGTGAAGCAAAATGCAAACTCATTTTGCTGTTTAAAATAGTAATTTGCAATACATATTGATACAGATGAGTACAAATGCAGATCAGTATCTAACTTACACACAAGAACCAAAAAATTATAACTGAAATTCATGGGAAAATCTAAATGTATGTTTTTCATTGCCAGCAAGAGGAAAAGGGAACTGAATGTCAAATACAAATGCTTCATAGTGTACAGAAATTTCAGCATCCTCCAAAACCACAGTACTTCTCTGCTGTAAAGTGCACATAAACAAACACCTCAAGGCATTTTATGAGCTGTTTAATTACATGCTGAACATGATATTACTGTCAGCCAGAAGCAAGGCTCAACAATACCCCACATGCTGTGCTTACACAGGAGCACCATGAGTTCTATCCACCCTGATGCCAGCAGAAAAGCATCTTCCAAATGCCATAATGATTACAGAACTACCAAAAGAAAATAAACTGCAGCTTCCCGGTCACTACTTGGTTTGCAGGCCCAGCTGGCTACACAGGTTGAACTCAAGGCAGCATTCTGTCCAGGCTAGTATGGTCTGAACAGAGAAGGGGTGTAACTCAGCTTTGCCACAGATGACAGGTCTCTAGCAGTGAGGTGCTCTCACCAACAGAGATCAATAGGAAAAATTACACCTGAGAGAGTCTTTCAAAGCTCCCCAGCACCCACCTGTGAGAATATTCCTTCAGGCTAGTAGCATGAGGCCTATTTCTGTTTCTCTGGTCAGGCAACTTTACCTTGGGAAAATGAGAAGGGGAACAATTGCCTGGCACTACATTGATTTTCTCTGTGCCTCCAGAGGCTGCAGGATGAATCGCTCCCACTCACTTTGGAACCAACTATGGTACAGTACCAAAAATATGCCATTCTGACTGAAAGCAAAGGTGAGCCCCACAACATACATACCACAAGAGTGTACTTTCACTAATACTGTCCTTCTAGCCTCAGAATTCGCAAAGAGCCACAAGGTCCTAAGGAATGAAAGCAGCTCCTAAGTAATACGCTGAGGGGAGGGAGAGGAAGAAGACGAGAATGAAGAGGAGAACCTCCCACAGTCATATGACTTCTGGAGACAAGATTTTTACTTGCGATTAGCTACATTCACAACAGATATGCAGTGTGGACAAACTGTCAGTAAACCCATTTGAACTGAAAGACCAGGAGTTCAGCTTTGAAAAGCAACCAAATGCATTAGCACCACATGCTCATACTCCAGTTTGTGGACAGGCATTCATTCACTCTGAAAGAAAAGCAGTGGATTTACCATTCAGAAGAGAATCTTTGCATCTTATGGCTGACTGATGCACCCAGTCTGGCTCCTATTTTGGTTAAGCTCAGTTTTGCTACTTGTGCTCTTCTGTCTCTGAAAAAGGTAGATGCCAGAGGGAAAACCTTCCTTGCTTCCAGGAGCTCTAACTCTGCAACAACTGGCTCAGCAAGCAGGCTGTGAGCGCAGACTAAAACAGGGTGCTGCAGCCCACCAACTTACAGGTCACGGGGAGGTTACTAACCAACTCCTGGAACCACTTTCCTGCACCTTCATACAATATCAGCCCAAACATCCGTACACCAACAGTATTTCTGAACAGTCCAATTAATAACTGGGATATTTCTGCATGATCCAATCGATGCTCAGCCCTGACACTATACATACGTTTCTCCTCCACTGGGGCCTCCTATGGTATGCAAGGACGCACCCTAGCTAATGCATCAACCCGCCAGCCCTTCTGGCTTCAGAGGGCTGATTGACAGGCATGAAATGATGAAAGACAGATGTCTGCAGGGAAAGCTGCTCCCAGCTACCCTTTCACTGGAGGCTGTTCATGGCAGAGAGAGCCAAACCATTAAGGAAGCAGCTCTTCAACAGTCAGCCACCACGCTAAGATGGGCTCAGTGACGTAGAGTAACCACTTGTTACTGCCTCAGCAGGCAGGAGGGTGCAACAACACTACTGGGCCGCTGCCTCAACTGACCTCTGTATCTCCTGGTTTTGGCCTGTGCCTCCCCTTTATCTGTGCCAGAGGACTCCTGTTCAAATGCAAACTTGAAGCAGATGTCTGCTTTCGCTGACTGATTCCCCAGCTATAGCTTCAGCACTACCTACTGTGCACGTTGGGCTTTCTGTAGCTGACGGGAAAAATGCCTCAGACCTAGGGAGTCATACTCTGGTTTTAGTTGGGGAGGAAAAGCAACAAAAAACTTGTGACAGAGGTTCATTGCTCAAAAACAGGATAAATAGATGTACAGAGCAACATGCTGCACAAAGCCATCACAGGATAAGAGCTGCCAGAGCAATGCGCCAAGTAATGTCTACTGTTGGAAGCATGACAAAAAAGGATCTAGATTAATGGTGGTTGACGTGTCTATGAAAAAATTCAACACGTTCGTAAGCCTCTTCTACTTAGAAAATAAGTGACAAAAAAACTAAAGGTAAAGGTTCTGACAAAGTATTCCCTCTATTTTTGGTGATTCAAGATGAAATCCAGTAAGAGCAGTCCTCCCATGTACCTCCCTAGGTGTCCTGACGGTCTGGAAGGGCATGGCAGGTGATACGGAGGGAAGGAAACGGTGCCGCTGAGTTAACTTCTGAGGATGGATCCATAGCTTTCTGAGAAGTAAAAATTTCTTTTTAAGTCACAAAACTCTTTAAGCAAATATATAAATTTGCATTGGATGAAGAGATTTTCCATAAACCTGTCTTCATTAAAGCAAACAGTATATTTCCCATTGATGGAAACAAAAGTCAGGCCATTATCAAGTACTTTTAAAATAATCTCACAAAGAAGCCTGATTTTTGTCACTTCACTATTCAAAAGAGAATAAATTATACAGCTTGCTGGGTATGAATTTAATCCACTTGACTTCTGTCAAATGCTTGTTTACAAATTTTAAGTAACCTCTTAAGAAGATAATTCTCTATCCCACCCAATGGAGCCAATGGTCTTAAAAGATCAGAAGGCAAAGAGAAAGAAACCTCAACAGCTTTATGAGCAAATCCACAGTAAGATAAACAGCAATAAATATAACATTTGGATAGAAAATTTATCTTTCAGTTTCATGTACAGGTGAGAAACAAGGTCAAAAATACACACTTTCACGTTATTGCAGTTCTTTTAACACAAATATATCAGAAACTGAGTTGGGAGGATGAGTCCAACTGTTAGTGGGTATATATACAACACAGAACTTACTTAGCTGCCTTGTTCAGCAGTTTTTGAAAGGATCAAAAGGGAATTAAACAGCAGCTTCCATCGAAACATCATTAGAGATTCCTTCCACTCAGAGGTGAGATACATTTTCACATTCTCATGAAACAATACCCTGATATAACAGTACTTCAGCTTATTATGGCTGTTAATTTAACCCCCAGAAATATTTTAATATTAATTCAACAAATAAAGAACACATTGAGGGAAATGAAGGCTTAAAAAATAATAATCAGACATTATAAGTACTTTCTGAACCATTTCTGTCTGTCCACATGCTAAGTTCTTCTACGGGAATCAATATGAATGAACATTTTTTTTAAACATTAAAATTGCATTAAAATTGACACAGGACTGGAACAAGTACCATAAGTCACTGAGATGAAGTCTTTGTTTCCTGAAGGCAATAGTATCACACAAAGTATTTCATAAATGTTTCAGGAGAAGCATCTAGATTTTCTGTTTACCAGTGCCTCTTCTTGTCGTGGTTTGAGGACCTCAAATCCAGGACACCACCGGAAGTCCGTTCTTGAAGGTCCTTCTCAAAAAACCTTCTTCTAACTTTTCATTTACATTTACTCATAGTCAGTTTATACCAATTTGTTCTTAACCCAAAGTTACCCTATGGAATATATAACTCTAGTACCCTAGTGCTTACTCTCTGGGTATACATCTGAAGCACTGAATTACGTACCCCCCAAACTTGATTTTATTAGGCTAAGCACAAGCTCCCTCTGTTCTTATGAAAACAGTGCTCCATCTTCTTGATCAGCCCATCACCCTTTGCCCACCGTGTGCTGGGCTCAACCATGGAAATTCACTTTTTCTCAGTGAATGTGACTAGGCATAACACTTCAGGTAGACTCCTGCCATCCCTCCTCCAGTGGCTTTAGGACCTTTCCATTTCTAATGGAATTTTTTTTTTGCCTTATCATGCAGGCTGGAAGGTGCTCTGTAGTTTTATGTAGGGGGAACTATATGTTAAAAGGGCTTTCAGTTCTCTTTCTCCACATTTCATAAAAATATTCTGTGTATTTGTCACTATGTGGGATAAAAATAAATTTGCAAACAATGCAAAATGTATCCCATATTGCAGATTAATTCTTAGAAACTCAAACCTCTTGGGAAGAAATACATACAATCTAGTTTCAAATTAAGTCCCCGCTGTTGCATATGTCTAATTCAGAGCAATAAAGATCAGACTATCTCCATTTGCTGTTACTTGTGACCTTTTAACAGTGTTCAAGATCTCATCAGTACTCACTGAGATCAACTCAGAATAAAGGCTGCTATTGTTTTATACAAGGTGAAAATATTATTTGGGAGAACAGGCAGGAAAAAAAAAAAGGAAGAACAACTGAAGTGCAAAGGACAAAAAAAGAAGAGAAAACCACACACATCTTAAGGCACAGCTTTCAAATAAATTAGAAAAAACAGCCAACACTACCATCTACTGGGCAAGATAAGGACAAAGAGTTTATTGCAATAAAGACAACTGTTGCTGCATTCTGGCAGTAACTCCGGGAACAAAACTGATCTCGAACCTACAACAGTGTGATTGTGGACTAGCTCAGAAGAAACCTGCAAAATTTATATTATCCAAAA